TTTATTATTATTTAATTTATGTGGATTAAAAATTTTTATTTAACCATAAAAAATGAAAATGCGAATTCAACACTGATGCAATTTAAGTTTTTTTTTTTTTTAATTTATTAGATTTTTTGTAATAATAATTATAAATTCATCAGTAAATTTCTTTAGATTTTAAAATATTTAATCACTTTTTTCTAATCACTTATGCAGCAAATTTTTCTGTACTCATTAAATAAAAATTAATTTTTAATCCTTAGATAATATATGGGAATTTTGTTTGAAATAAAATGAAATAAAATGTTTCTATTTCAGTAAAACAAAATGAATTAAGTGACATAAAGATGTGAAACCAGCTTTAAAAAATGCACTACCTGTATGAATAAAATGTTACTGATAAATGATTTGCTTAGTATCTATTATTTACAAATTTTAATTAAGCTTGTTTTAAGGAGAAACTTCCATATTGCAAAAATTTACTACTGAAAATAGAATTTTTTACGACTAGTAATAGCTATCAGTTGTGATTAATGAAGAAATTAATTCAAAAGATCGAAAAATTTTAATCTATTGAAGTTTGACTTTAGAATTAGATTTTAGTGAGTTTTTTTTTTTTTTAAGAATTTGAAGTTCCTCAGACCAATTAAATCTATTGCAATAAAGCTTTCGAAACAAAAGTGCTAAATTTTTGTTTTTAAGAAAGCAAAAATTTCAAATTTATGCAAAAATTGAATACTGCATTAATTTTTATCAAATATATGGTGTATTTAAACAATAATCGTAATTTAAAACAGTATTATGTAAATTGTGCAAAGAATAAAATTATAATTTCAGTGTAAACTTGTTGATTAATTATAGTGAAAGAATTTAAAAATGAACACATAATAATGAAATATTTCTGAATTGTCATTATTAAGAATAAAAAATATGAAAATATATGTCAAATAATTTCTTCTACAATCATAAATTGTGTAAAACTTCAATACTAGTGGTAAGGATTGTATCAACGTCAAAACTTAATACTATACTAATACTAATTACAACTTATTAACACTTATTACTAGTAACTAGAAAAAAAAAAAACAATTACTGCAATGATATCCATTGCAGTAACAACTAATAAATATGTTGTTGTTTTATTGTTGGTAATAGCACATTGCTACAACAAGAAATATTACTGCTACAACAACCTACCATTACAATTACTAATGTTGCCTTGAGCGTTTCGAGATTTTTCAGTCAGGCAATATTTCGTGATGTTCAAAAATTCTGTCTCTTTCCAACCTCCTCTTGCATTTTGAGCACGCCATATCATCATCATTTTGTCATACGTACTCTCTTGCGCTTTTTCTCAGAGCTTCGGTTAACCATCACCCCAATAATATCCACTCAATAATCATTTACTATATTTGATCACTAATGCCATCTTTGATTTCATTTTTAATTTCAAATCATTTTAATTATCATAAATGAAACAATAGCAATGACAACAAAATATTCGATATAAATCTAGTAATATATTTCGTTGGATATATATATATATATCATTCCATAGTTTTATTTATTAAGATAAAAAATGATTTTGCTGTCACATTTCTTAAATAATCAACTCTGAATCATAAAACTGTTCTACTTATCTTTCTTCTCAACTGATCTACAACTTATCATATACCATTCGTAATCATCATACCATCTAAGCTTAATATTTCTACCCATATTTTTCATTGCACTCATTCCTTCCCATTTTTTCTTGCTTAACTTTTTGTCAATTCGTTATTTGATTGGTAAAATTGCATAATATTATTTTCATAAACTAATGGCTACTAGCTACGGTATAGTTATCAACTACCGTATTTACTAGTTACAGTATTTGTTATTACTCATTGTGTTTGGTAGCTACAGTATTTATTGTCATATGCTTACAGACCTATAGCAAGTGTTTGGAGTTGAAATTTATTATTGTTAAAAAGAAAGTAACTACTTTTTATACGATTGCAACAGATATTACGTGTAAATGCATTATAGGTTGGAATAAGTGTTATCAATAATAGATAAAAAGACACAGTTTTGCTTCATATTTAAATAAAATGCTACGTATTGTTTATCATTTCCTAATGATAATTAAAAAATAAAAATAGAAAAAATTAAAAATTCAATGCTGCAAACCGTTTAAAATTTCGTTGTCGTCGTTTATTGGCATACATATTTGCTGATCATTATTAACAGTTCAAAATCTAAAAATATATCGAATTTCAATTTGAATTAATCTTGATAAAAAGACATAATGAATGAAATAGAAATGCAATAAATTTAAATACTTTCAAATACCATCAACGATTATTAATAATTGCATGAATAAACTAATGTGGAATTTTCTTCGGAATAAATCAAAAAATTTGATTTCATCAAGTAAAAACTTTATTTACTGTGGATCCACTTACACCAAAACACTTATTTAGTTCAAATGGAATGAACAAAAAGTGATTGTCTATGATTAATCCAAAATTGAAAACAGAGTAAGTAGATAAGTAATAATTCCAATGATTTTAATAAGTTAGAAATCAATTAGGTATTTTGCAGCATTTTTTTCCACAGAATACTTCATTTTGTTAATCAATTCAAGTTTTTCTAGTTAATAAAATAATTTCAACTTTTTATTCATTCGTTTCTTTTCTCTTATTTATGATTAACTATTCATACTAATCGTTTGCAATGTCTTTACTAATTAATTTTTGAGCTTAATAAATCCTCATGGATATCTTTGAATTTTAATTTTATTTTCAAAATAAATTATATTATTCCTCTTAAATATTATCGTTATTACTGTTAATAAATCATTGCTATGTTCTACTTCTTAATTTGCAAGCAAAGCGATCGCAGTAATTCTGATCAATTTAAAATGATAATAAATGTTTTTTATATTCAATAATTACTGTGAAAACGTAATACAAAATTGTGTGTTATTATTTGTTACTAAACATTACCACTATTACTATCATTATCATTATCATTATCACTCTCACTATCATTATTATTCTTACTACCAATATAATATGGACACGCAAATTATTTGCATGCCAAAGAAGAAAAAAGAACTGTAGATAATAAATATGGTTGAATGTCAGTCGCGTGTCACATGCAAATAAAGCTATCATTCTAAAAAAAGCTATTATTGAAATATTTCATATCTATCACTTCATTCAAGAAATCGTTGATATTTAATTGCCCAAATAATAATAAATCCAAGTGAAAGTTAAAATGATAAAAAGGAAATAAAAACGGAATGATGAGATAAACTTACTTTATTAGACGAAAATTTGCTGATATAATTGTTTCAGGATAAAAATGTTTAATATTGTTCCACCTATTCTTTCTCTTAATCTTATTATTTTGTTTTATTGCTAACTATTGTTGTGATAATATTGCTTTAATTAACTAGTTGACAGTGGTACTAATTTTTGTTTCTTATTACTCTCTACACTAACTTCTTTTTCTTTTATTCTTTTTTTTTTTTTTTTCACTTTTTGGGTGAATAAGAAAAAAGTCTGATATAAAATTAAACAATTTTATTGACGTCACCGTGTCATTTTTAGGATGCTAAGAGGAAAATTTTTAGAGAATTTCTTGCAGCACGCAAACCATTTGATACGATTGCCTTAAGTGGCTAATATTGCATTCTATCGGGCGTGGCTAAAATGGACGATTGAAGGAGGAGGAAAAAGGACTATTGCGCCGATGATACTTAAATCATACACAGAAAGCAACTGAGGGCGGGTGGTACCACAATTCGTTTCTCAAGGACATTCATTATTCATTGTCAATCACCTCAGAAGAAAGGGCGGAGAGACATCGCTTACCGTATTACTTCACCTACTGAACAAAAAGGTTGAAATTGTGGCGCATGTTTGTTAACAATTCATCATCATGAAACTAACTTATTCTGGTAAATCAATAATATTTAATTATTTTTTATTCTACCAAATTGATAAATTGAAGAAAGAAAACTATCAACTGTATTAGTTAACATATTATTATTGCTATTTATCATTACTATTGTTATTACTTTTCATATCATAACAAATGGTACTTAAAATTGCTTATCATTTTTTTATTAAGTATTTTGTAAAATTAAGAAAGAGACAATATAGTATGAAAGAGGAAACAAGAAAAAATTATGGTAATGGTAATGGTATAAGATATGAGCAAAAACTTTTGCCAACGAGAACAACAAGCGTTTCAATGAACAGCTTTAATCTTTTTTTCTGTTTTTGTGAAACTATCAATTGATTTTTTATCACTGTAATGTGATGTCTTATCATTCACATTCTTTTGTCTAAATGGTTTTAAAATGCATAAATCTAGAATGAATTCAAAAGAAATTTGCATATTTAAGGATATAAAAGTTTGGAAAATATAAGCAAAGAAATCATTTCTAGTGCTAATTTAAAAACATTTTAAATAGCTATTAGAAAAAAAAAAAAAAAAAAAAAACATTGTTGCATTTGAATTTCTTGGAGTTTTTTTATAATTTATTGAATATTATTCATTCGTAATATTTTGTTTAATATGCCCATTTTATTGATAATACCTTAATTTATATTTGTTTTTAAATGATAGTAGTTCACTTATATCCTATGTTAAATAAAAAAACAACTCAAATAAATTTGCTACTAATTAATACTGTTTCACTCATTTTATTCAGTTTTAAATCAATTTTGTCATAAAAATCTTATTGTAATAGAATTGCATATCAAAAATCAATTGTGAATAAACTTCCTAAAATTACAATAAACCACGGACAAACTAATTGACAAATTGATGCTAAGAATTGAAATATTTTCTTTTTTTGTTGCTTTTCTCTTTAAATTAGTTGGTTGATTTCATTGTTGATAGTAATACAGTTCACAGTGCTTAAATTTAATTCGTAAAAGAGACATTTGTTGTTTCATTTAATTTTTTTTTAAATTGTTTTTATATTAATATGTCTAAGTAAGCTGTCATTTAGGATAGTCAAAATGAAGGAAATGAATGCTCTGTTGAAGAATGCCATTGAAATTATTAAAAAAGTAATAAATATGAATAAAAATGTTCCTTAGAACTGCGGAATTTATAAAAGCTAAAAATTTCTGTCACTTTTTTGTTTGATAGTTTTTTTGATTGTTGGGATAAATGATTGTTGATTACAAATTTCAATAAAAATTTATAATTTGATTCATCATTCATTATAATAGAATTGTCGTTAAGTTAGGCAACAATGAAGTTCCCAAAAATTCTAAAGAGAACGTTAAACATATATTGTAATTTACTAAGCAATTAAAACTTTAAGATAATCTTGCTTGCACTGATATGATTTTATTTTTCAAATAAATATAAATTGATAGCGAACTGAAATGTTAACTGAATTAATAACGAATGGAATATTAATTTAGCTGTCAGCAAGAATTTGACATCTTCTCGAGCAATTGATGCTCTTGAATTTTGATCAAATTTGTTTAACCAATGATTTGTACCAAGGCTCGCAAGTAACTTTTAATCATTAACATTAAGGCACGTAAGTCATTGGAACGTCAAAATGAAGTGAATATAGCGATCGAAGCTGAATTTTCAAATTTCAGCAGTGAAATCAATCGAGAATTTAATAAAGTTAGTTTAATTGTAGAAGGAAGAAATTTTATTTACTTTCCATTCTGAATATATTTGCTGTTATTTTTAATATTTGGGCAATCATGTAATTTTAGTAAATGTGATAGTTTAGACAGAAATTTTTAATTTAAGTATTTAATAACCATCGAATAGATATATATGAGAATAATTAAAGTGTTCAAATTAGCAGCCATTTAGAATTTTAATTGTATACGAAAATAATGCAATTTTTGATGTATATGCAAAGCAAATGATTGTGTGTAATCATAATTTATTCTTACTATAATCATTTAAATATTATAACATTTGTACAATTTTAATATTTCATTTAAAAAAATAGAATTAAGTAATATAAGTAATCGTTTATCGATTTACAATTATATGCTGGTGTAAAGTCTCATTATCAAGAGTAATTGTAAGTGTATACCGGGCAATCTTAGGTAATGCTGATAATCATAAGTAAGCAAGCAATTGTATATGGAATTATGTGATTTTTTAACAAATTTATATTAGAAATTTAATTAAAATTTGATCAATTAAAATTTGGTCATTAACACTATACAACTTAAAATAAAATTTATTCAGAGGTTTAATCCATTGAAATTAGCAAACGTAGGCATAAGCAATCGAAATTAATAATAAACTTTTACAATTCAAATCACAACTGAAATACATTATTTTTCCAAATAGGAATTTCATTTTTTCTTCAAATTCAGTTGTATAATAGAATTTGCAAAATCAAGAGAGATTATAAGAATCGAATTGAATTTTTGAAAAGCATGTGTCAGCATTACACTAATAACTTATCACATCGAATGAATGAATTAGCATTTGATGAAATGGAAATTTGGCAGAAATTGAATAAACTTGAGTGGGATATAATTATTCTTCAAGTAAGATTTAAAATTCTTTTTTGATATTGAATGTTTCAAATTTTTAATTTTTCCACAAATTAAAGAGCTAGCTTAAACTTCAAAAAGATCTTGAAAGTTAGAAAAAATGTTGAATATCCTCGAATAAAACTTAAATTTTCTCCATTCCAGCAACATTTTAACTTTAAAAGTTCTTAAAAATTTTTAAAAAAGGTGAAACTGTCTCTTTTTATTTTTTAAACTGTGAAAAATTTTCACCCAGTGTGTTGGACGATCACTTATTGAAGCATCGACATCTTATTTATCGGAAATTTATTTTGATAATATTGAACAGACGGTTAATTATAACTTAATTAATCTGCGTAAGATAGCATTCATCGTCAAAAGAAAATAGTTTTGAGAAAAATTTTACAAAATAAATTCTTTCCTTTTTTCGTTATGATAAGCTGTAGTATCATTCACTGTTAAATTACAATATGACTTCAAAATTAATTTTAACAACACAGCTAAGACTATCCAATCTTCTTCACTTAAAATATTTGTAGCTTCATAAAACGAAAAAGAATCTTACTCAAATTGACAATATTGTTGCCAATAATTATAACCTTTCTATTGCATATGGTATTACTTTATCGCCGGTAAAAAAGTTTAAAATACGTAAAATGAAAATACTACTTTTATTTGTCAATTCTTTTCGCTTCGATTTTAATTAGAAATGAAACTTATAAAAAAGGAATGTAATTTACCAAAAGTTAATAATTTAATGTTGAACAAATTTTTATTGTGTTGGCTACTTATGGAGTTTATTTTTTGATAATGTTGATGTATTGATAAAGCAAATTATAGGTACCATCCGTATTTGCATCAGAAATATCGGTTGATGATAACAAGGTCAATGTTTCTCCTGTATGGAAAGAAACTGTACATTAGAAAACTGAAAAAAAGAAATCTCTGTTATAAACCCAAATCGATAAAATTAGATATATTTACGTAACTAGAAATTATTAATTAATCTTTTTACGATTGAACAATTTGGACTTAAAACTCGAGAAATGATTAAATCAAGAAATGTACAGGGATTGGAAAACTGATTTAATTAGAAGTTAGCAATAGATAAAGAAATTTGTTGGAATAATTAATAATTAAAATAGTAATATTACTATCATTATCCAATGTGCTGAAAGTTGGGAAACAATTTATATTATAATATTCATTTCTTTTGTTACAAAAAAAAAAATTTCATAATTTTAGTTTATGGAAATATTACAACTAATTTCTAACTCGGTGCAAAATGTTCAACGATTACCGTGTATTGCTGATGGCAATTATGTTGATCAAAATAATTTAATAGATGAAGCAAGAAAGTTATTAACAATATGTAATAATATTCAACAAAAAATTATGGTAATCAATTTAATTGAATTAAAAAATTATTTTCCTTTTTTAGTTTTCCCTTGTTCAATTGCTCTCTATTTGAGAATGTTGAATATCTCAATACAACAAGAAGAAGTCATGCTAGCAATGACAGCAATGACAAAACAGCATCATCAACAGGTAATTTATTACAGTGGTAAATTTTATGAAGTAGAGCTAAATTTGCCGCTACTTCGTATTTCTTCATTCTTACAGATCACAGAATAATCAATACTTCGGATTTGAACAGCAAACAACAGTGATTATAGAAATTATGTTATATACATTCTCCCATTATGAATTCCGAAATAAAGATATTGTAAAATGACTAGTCTATTTTACATTTTAAATTTCTTTAAAAAAAAAAGGCTGACACAGACTGCCAACACGCTAGTTTTGGAAGCATAAACTTTGACGGATGAATGAATTAGTGAACATACTGTAAAATTCTACGGAATACAGAGAAGCTTCAAAGTTTCAAAAGTAGCAAACTGCAGTTAATTTTAAGAAAAAATTAAGCGCATTACCAGAATTTTTAGACTGACGGTCATTTCAATCGAAAATACAATCAGAATCTCCATATCAAATTCCTTAACGTAAGCTAATCATCTCCGGTCCTCTAATATAACGACTTTAGCCCCATGTAAACAAATTGACGTGCACCGACATTTTAATAACTATCTCAGTCTTTTCCTCGTAATTCGATTGGATTCTTAATATACGATAGTGATTTAAGGCTGAGTTAAGGGAATATTTTACTATTTCGTATAAAACTCAGATCAAGAGCAAAATATTTTACTAGGTTCAGCTTAAATAGCATGGAATTTACAAGAATAATTTACAAGTTAATTGAGTTATACATTTCTAAAGCAACATCTGAAAGGAACGTAACAGCGAAATGCTATCAATATATTTCATTAAAGATCATCTCTTCACAGAAACCGAAGAGATACATCTTCAAAATCAAACAAGACGAAAAAGGGACCTCCCTAACTATCTCGAAATAATATTCCCAATAATTCAAATTTCATTATTTCGATCATACAGAATCTTTTCCACGAACTGAAAATTGATCGCATTCGATACAACTTGCTGAAACTGTCTGGACGCTCACTTTACACTTACCCTAAGAAAATGAAAAAAAAGAAAAAATTTTTAGGTAGGTCACTTTTGGAGATGAAAGCAGAAAGCACTGTTACCTGGAATGGACTATTTACAAAATCGATTAGATTTTAAGTGAAAACGAGGTCAGACTTTGTGAAATAATTCAATAATTCAAGATGTGAAAATGTCTCGTCAATCCAATACTACCGTATGAGTTCATTAACCATTATAATAGGAGATTTCTCATGTCAATTTTGTCTCAGTGCTGCTAAACGTTGTGTTAGCTCATCATTCTCCGCTGTCGATGTTGAAACTTTACCACCAACTGATACTGTTGATGGCATTTCCATATTCAGTTCCAAACTGTAATTTTACATTTTTGCATCGAGGAAAAAATATGACGTGAAAAGTATTCTTTGTTTTTCTTCACGGTTAAGTTTACATAAAGATTAAAAATATTTGAAAATTATGTTGTTTCATTTTTTATTTGAATATCATCCCCAAAACTTTTTACCCACCAATAATCAGATATGCTGAAATATCAAATACAAACAAAAGCAAAAAAAAGAAAAAAAAAAGAGTCGAGGAGAAAGGTGGAGTAATTAGAAAAGAAAAAGAAGACACCATTATGCTATCAAAGCAATAATACTGCACATATCTGATGGAACGATGAATTAGGGTTAAAAATAGATGCGTGTGGTAGGATGATTAACATGACCTAAGTTATATTTGGTATATAGATGCAATTTAGTAATACTAATAAAAGTTACGTTATCATACCAAGTTAAGTTATCTTACAATCTTCAACTGGTCATGTAAGGTGAAAAAAGGATAAAGTCCAACAACCAGTAGGAAAGGAAAACGTACCCAGCCTTATCTGCCGCTTCTTGGATTAAAGCATTAACTTGTGCTTGAGGTGTATTTAACGTTGTCGTGGCTGTCATCGAACCTTCCATTGTAGCAGATTGTACATCTAAATTTTCGAAATCTTTCTCGAAACGATCCATCAAATTTTGCACTTTTTCCAAATTCATTGAGCGTAAAGCCGATTCCATTGCTTTCACAACACCAGACATACTTTGAGTTACACGCTTTTGTGTAGCGGCCGTCTGTGAAAGTGAACATTTTACACCATGCCAAATAATCCTAAGCCTTTTTTTTTTTCATATGGAATGCACAAGCAGTCTGTACGATGTTTCATTTCCATCAAATGTATTGGGAATTGAAGTGAATAAAAGAGTGAGAAAAACCATAATGTACAAAACTTTCGCGATATTAATGTACTACTGTATTTGAAAATATACTTTACAAAATAACCGAATAGTGCCTGCTAATTTCTTAATGTTAAAAACTGATTAATGCATACAAAGACAAAACAAACTTGTACACGTGCTGCTACTGCATCAATTCGTGCCGACATCCTTAAATAATTCAAGGCTTCATTCTTTTTGCGTATTGCATTTTCAGCGTGTACCTGCGCTACTTCCATATTGCCTTTCTGCAACAACGTGTTAATTTAATAGAAATTCTTTGAAGATAAAAGTATCACAAAAAATCAGAAAAAGCAAAATCAGTGCATGCGTGAAACTCACTGATATCATAACTTGGAATCGAAAGAAATGCCGTGTGAAAAAAAAAGAACCTTTATTGCGTTTGTTAATTTCGTCTTCTCTGCTCTTTCCTCTTTTTCACATTTTTTTGAGTTTCGCTGCAGTTCTTTCGAAGCAAACTTCAAATTGAAAAGATGATCTAAAAGTTCTGCGCAAAACTTAATAAACAAAATATTAGAAAAGCAGATAAACACTACTACCAACAGTTTGACTAAATAGATAAGTAGAGTTGAACGATAACTTCTGTATATAAGAAAAAGAAAAGGTATGTTACAAGAACTAGAGAATAGACTTTCTCTAGTTTCTTCTTTATTCATTCCTTTTTACATTGGGAAAAAATGCACAAGAAAATAAAATAAATATAATGACATAGTAAAATCTCTGATAAAACCTTACTATCTAACGACATCCTATGACTGTTGATAAGATGAAACTTCTAATTTGTTACGTGGAAGCCTGAAACTTGTACATTGGTTTAATTTTTGTATAAATAATTTAAAATAATCTAAAAATGAGAGCAAAAAAAAGTAAAAGTTAAACACTTGAACTATTCTTAAGTCTCATACAAAACTGTTTTGCGTGAGCAAACGACCCGACAAATACAAAATTACTAATCAAAATTACAATAAATATGTATCATGGCCAACCACTAAGGAACTCTATGCAATTCCTTTTCTCAAACTAATGCTTGTCATGGATATTTGTTTGTTTAGTTTATTTCATTTCATTTATTATGCATTGCAATTGAACAAATAAAATAAGTTGTTTATATAAAACTAATGAGTAGAAATAATTTAACAATGTTTATGTATCTTTTTTGTACATTATTTTTGTTTAAATTTGCATATTTGTAATAAATATATTGAACATATGCCAAAATGATAAGTTTGTAAATATGTATGCGAGAAAATGTTTATATTTATGGACTTATTATAAAGGAATATATATACTCTATGAAAGAAAAGATGTCGTTGTTGACGAAGTCCATTCATAAAAAAAAGATAAAAAATTAAGTAAATTTATTATCACGTAATAATAGTACTAAACGATACGTTGTTGTATAAACCATAGTGATAGTAATAAACTTGCACATGATAGTGGTTGCTAGATTTGATCCGAATTTATAAATATAATTTGATTAATTTAAGCTTATTTTCAAAAAGTCAGTTTTCGACACCAAAAGGAACTGATTAAAATATTTATTTTTATAAATGAGACATATATATAAGTTTACTGCTATCATTAAGATTTAAATTAATAATTCTGTCGCTGCGTACTATTATTAATAAATTCATTTAAAAATTTTTTGCCTTTCTTTTCTCTTTTCTTCTAACCTCCTTCCCTCTCTTTTTGTTCTTCACCATTCAACTTTATTCTTTCTTTTTTATGAGCGAACATTTCGTATTTTTCCTTTCACAGATTATTTATTTTTTGCTAGCCATTACATTTATATAATTTATTTAAATTTTATTCAATTCAGTCAACAAAACACTTTCATTTCTTTCAAATTATTGTAATTTGAACACAACACAAAACATTTTGGTGTAAAAAAGAAGAAAACAGAAAAGAGCAGAAATTGCAACAAAATTTGATACTTTTTCAATAATTACACAATTGCAAAGAGAATGAATTTAAAGGAATGAATGATTGTCCTCATTAGTTTCTTCAGCCAAACTGCCAAAATGAGAAGAATGCTTTCCCGCATTTGACGAATAAATATACTAACTGACATTCGTCTACATTTTCCGTTTACTTTACATAGGTTGATAGTAGTAGTGTTTATGTGTGACACTTTGATATTCTCTTAAAATGATTTCTCATTTCAGATAATTCAATCACCCTTAGTTTTCATTGGCAACTAACTTTTGTAATTACCAGAAGAAAATAACGATGATTTTATATATTTTGCAACAATAAAAATAAAAAACAATAATAATTATATAGTAAAATAATAATAATAATAATAATAATAATAATAATAATAATAATAATAATAATAATAATAATAATAATAATAATAATAATAATAATAATAATAATAATAATAGTAATAAATAATAAATAAATAGATAGATAAAAATAAAGCAGGATTAAGGAAAGCTTTATCAGGACTGGAAGACAGTTGGAAAATGAAGACAGTAGGTAATTGTAAAAATTTGAAACCTTAAAATGAACTATGTGAAGAAGGAAGATTATGAAGTTTATTATTATAATAAGTATGTATGTTGTTTATTTATTCCATTTATCTTTTAAAGAGCAATGAAATACATAAATATCACAAAGCAGTAATAAATATTTAAAAATAATTAGTTAAGCGAATAGAAATAATAGATAATTTATAGCTGGAATAACTATGAGCGATGGATATCGATCTGCGGAATGTTTGAAGAATTTCTGTTTCCCATCGCTGTTTTTAATGTTCATGCATGATAAATTTGAAAAATGGACGCAAAGCACTGAAGTCTCCTGACCTGAGTGACCTTAGAATTGAAAATGGACGTTAGAGAATTTTTTTTCTCTGTACGGTCGGTACTGCATTATGAAGAATTTCAATACATTTGGATATTTCACTAAGTTTGTTATTTGTTTTGCATATAATTTCAAAATACAAATCGATTAGAAATGAAAATGACACTTTTTCCAGACATTGTGAGTGTACCATTTCGATAGTTGGAAAGCAGTGGCGGTGTTATTGCTTGTCAACAATGGTGCTACAATGGGACAACATGCATTTGGCAGTCTCACTGCTAGTAACAAAGCTTTCAAATTTGTTCCACATCCTTTCTTCTTCTCTTATACTCGAAGCAGTTCTGCTACAATCATATTAATGTTTATATCATTCAGGAAATTTTGATTTTCAGAATTTTTAATAATTTCGAATTTTCATTATATGACCCGGAGGCTTATTTATTAAGGTATGATTGTTAAAACCTCAGATGTAACGGCACGATTATTAAAAGATCTTACATGATTATCAATTACTTTGATTGTTTTCAGTTCCTTTATTCGCCCTTGTAAGTTAATCACTTACAGTTGAATGGTGCATATTCTGTTAACGGTATGATGATTGTTATTTTTGAATTCGCTGAGCCTCTCGAAAAGATTGATATTTGCAATTAGGGGATGGTTTTAGCATTATGTGTTCCTGTCTCTCCGTAATTCCACAGTTTGGAAATAGCTTTATTGTTGTTGTACAATACCGGCTTATACAATAAGAAATGAACAGTGAATATTACTATACCAACAAACATGTTCACTAATTTCCCTTTATAACTGTCACTCGCCACTATTACTGTTGTACTAAGCCATTTGTTGGAAGTAAATTAAGTAAGTAAATGAGTGAGTGAGTAAGTATTGAGACAAACTGAATCGAAGCTTGCAATATGCAAAAAACTGAGCTAAAGCGATGATTTTAACTGCCTACATAGTGTCGGAGTGTTTTATGGTATTATGTCAACTGCTTATAAGAGTGACTGTCAGACTGAACGACTTTCACAATATTTCGAATTGCAAGTAATTAAGTTTATGAGAGAGAAAGCTAATTGAACAAGCAGCTTGCAACCTTCTAACCATCGGATATAAGTTTGACTGTCAAACTGGAAAATCCTGACAGTAAAGTGGACGCAATTTATAAAATGTTAAGCAATGTCATATTCTTTGTCAACAGATTGTAACATTTTAAACAGTGCACATAAGCTTTGCTACAATTGCAAGTTGAGTGTTGGGTAAATGATTGCTTAACTGAGATATCAAATTCAAACAGTTTAAAATTTTTATTTTATAGATTTAATACAAAATTATTTTAAGATGTTATAAAATTCTTTCGGTTTCTCGACAAGCATTCTCTTTTAGTAAATGTTAATTAATTCATTTTAGCCAGAATTAATTTATAACTTAATTTATTTACATATTTTGTTAGTGTTTAAGTTGTTTGGTCCTTTTCTTTTGATTTTAAATTAGAGGAAAATTTTAAATTCAATCGATAGTTCATTTTGAGAGAGATTGGGTCCATTTAGTATTTGTGATGGAGTGAGAAGGTCATTTTGCAATGTGTATGAGTGAGGGCAAAGGTCACTTTGATATAAGTATGGAGAATGAAGGTCAGTGTAACGTTGTGACGACCATCTGTGCTGTGGCTTTTGTTTACTTCCACTTTGGTATGTTTTGTCCATCGGAGATATTCAAAGATTTCAAGTTTGGATGGCAATTCTTTACTGTTGATTTTTTTTTAATCAGTATTTTTGAAGGAGTGAGATTACTCTTGAATACTGTCTAACTAACTATTCCTTTAACATCCTATCCATGATCATTTCAAATTATACTTATGATTTATGTAGCAAGTTGTGACTCATAATGCAGATTATCAGTTACGCGTAATACAGTTGTAATGTTTACTTAATTCATATAATCGAACTTATACTTAGCTTGTCTGCCAATAATATTAACCAATATACTTTGTTTAATTTCAATTTAAAAAAATCTTGAACATTAGAAATTGATGTAATAAGACTAATTATTCCACCTTTGGCCTTGATTTTAACCAGAAAGAAAGTTTTGAATTCATTCAGTAACTCTTCTGCTCACTTGTTTATCAGTTTCGCATATATGAAGGAGCGCGAAGGTCATTTGGACGTATCGCTTGGCGAATGAAGGTCATCATTAGTATAATGTTCTGATGACCTCCTGTACTACGATCCCCTTATTTTGCATTTCCTCTCATTTATTTATCCATTTAAGACATCTCGGAGATTGGAATCCAGATGAAATACATCAACCTTGTTAGCTTCAGTTAAGCTGATTTAAAAGAAACTTCATTTTGTTTAATTTTTCTTTATTGTCATTCTTAATTTCTACCATTTTTTATCCACAATTTTTCACTTTTGCTCACTCAACTTATTAATTTAATTTCAAATTTAGATAAATTAATGACTTATTTCCCAACAGACTTGTCATAATCATAACAGTTTAGACAGAAATGGCGAGACGGAAGAGTGTTGCATAACGTTCCTTAGCTTTTCGCATTGTTCCCGCTCTTTGAGTTCCTTTGTTCCTCTGAGACATCTCGGGGAGAAGGCAATTGGTGTATATGCAGAATTCCCGAATGACTACTTGGGACGATACATGTTTCTCGCTTTTTTTCGACTTGATATCTTGATTTTTTTTTCTTGTTAAAAAAAGAAATTCATTTTCCACATCGCCAAGAGTTTTTTGTACTGTTTTCTATCCTATCCTTTATTTCATTTTATATTAGTGGCCTAATTTTGATATTTATTCACGTATTTTAGCAGTGAAAATTTACAGTTCAATTCGTTCTATTGTTCTATTCAGTTCGCATGAAAAACATATGTTTGGCATAATTACATCAATTTAGGGTGTACAAAATATCGAAATTTTAGTTTGATTTTTTAAATTGATTTAATCAAATCATATTAAGGTATAAAATTTCCGGCATTCTGGGCGAAATCCAAACGGTAGATAATTAATTCTTCAGTACATTTTGCAAGAATGATTCGGGGTTGGAATACCATACCTCAAGCATTTGTTGCTTCATTGTTTACATGGGGTGTTACTGCTCTTGGTGCAGCCGTTGTTTTCTTTATTCCGCCATCGAGTAAAAAGCTACTTGGTAAATGTGTATTTTCAATTTTTTTTTCAAAAATTTGCAAAATTGAAAAATTTTCATTTTCTAAATTTTTTAATCTGAATTGAAGAGAACTTAATTGTTAAGCTTCATTTAATATTTTCTTTTCTTTACAAGTTCCAAATATTTTTCTTTTTTGCGAAATAAATAATGAGGGTAATAATTTGTATAGACAATGAAGTTAAGGTTCTATAAAGAATGACCACTAGCAACTATTATTTCCATTTAAGTTAATAAGGTGAAGTGACGAACTTAGATTTGGTTACAAAGATTAAGTTAGGAGATCGGACAAAGGAATTATGATTCACCAAAGGTTTAATTTAATATTTATTAAAATTAATAAGATGTTTAACTGCTTGTTATTTGGTCTAACTAAGTGAATAAAATTGTGATTCGAATTAAGCTTTTTTTTTTCTGTTTTATAGATATAAGTTTGGGTTTTGCTGCTGGAATTATGATAGCAGCATCATTTTGGAGTCTGTTGGCACCGGCAATTGAATTATCAGAAACAGAGATGGGATCCTTTGCATTTCTTCCAGTAGCAGTTGGTTTTGCTGGTGGTGCCGCTTTTGTATATATTGCTGATCGAATAATGCCAAGGTAAGTAGGTCGACTGATGTTGTACATGATGATTTTGTGCACAATTTCAGCAGCATTTCATTTTATCAAACCAAAAAAGTTTTTTCAGAAATCAAATTTTTTGAAGTCTCGAAACTCTCATGGCTCAAAAATTTTTGTATATTTTTCATAAATGTTTTTGATTAGCCGTTCAAATAGAAATATGAAAATTTGATTGATGGAGACATAACATTTTTAAAAAAACTTTTTTTTTTTTTTTTTTTTTTATGGGAAAAATTTTGGACTTCACAAAAAAAGCTATTATTTTTTGATTCAATTTTAGTTGTGTGCTTTCGGAAATATCAGTGGTGGATCTATTAAAGGAAGATGTCACGGTAGTCGATCCCAAAGAAGTTAAATCGCTGGATGCAATTGTTGAAGAAAACATATCAATGGTGAAGCTTAAGGAAACAAACGATAATATTGCACGGTATGGGTCTACTGCAAAAACATCCGGTCAAATAATTCGTCGGCGAACTGCCAGAAATAGGTGTGGGCGTCCATTGGCTCTACCGTAATGGAGTTGGCCTTGCTTGAAACATGCTTATACAAATTTTCATTTTTTTTTTTAATAGCAAAAATCTTTCCTGAGCATTAAAAAGCGCTGAAATAATTATGCAGAATTTCAACTCTTTCCTTCTTTTTCTTTAAACCTCATTACACAATAAATTGTATTTCTCAGGTTTTAGCGCAAAAGATCATTTCCGAATATTTTCTTTTTGCTTTTTAAATCATTAACCTATTCATTGCTACATTTAGTTTGCTACTGGCAAGAAAAGAGAATTTCGTTGAAATCTTCCTTTGGTTTCAAGATCTGAAGTTGACAGGAAAATTACTGATGTAAAGCAAGTTTAACTGAACCTATATGTGAATAGTTGATAAAGTACAATAAGCTCAGATTTACGTCTTGTTGTGGTTAACAGAGAATATATGAATATGGGGAATATGACATACATATGTCGGGAAATTTAAACGGGCCACAATGATACCGATTGCTTGAATAAATTTGATCTGGAAAATCTGCGCTACTATTTTTATTACTTAAAACACACGGATAATTGAGAACTGACATAGTTTTGGCAGTAAATCACATTTTGATAATTTGGTACTTAACCATTTATGCCGACGTCATATTATATTTTATTCCAGATGCTTATTTTTCCGCAGCATTTCTCTACTATGAACCTTTGCATGTAGGTTGGCTTGTCCAAATGATCAGAACAGTTGCAGTCTATATCTAGAGCGAAATAATGCTGCTATTTTAGAATTCATCAAACGAATGATTCCACAGCTACTACTAACAACACGGATGGAAGTACCTCAGATGCGACAGCAACAGTAGCAGTGATGGAAAATGGCAACCGAGCAGTTGATAAGGAACAAGCTTTTATCACATCTATCTCGTGGCGACGCATCCTTTTGTTAATTATTGCCGTTACGGTGCATAACATTCCGGAAGGTTTAGCCGTTGGTGTTGCATTTGGTATGCTTTGGTTTTATGCGAATCATTTCTTTAAATGCATTGTTTCTTTCTTATATTTGAATCAGAATTCTTCCGTGTTATGTGTGTTACGTTCATATATTTTTTTTCCAGAGATTTCTAGGAAATTCCACATGACACTTTCAGGAAAAAATTTACTTTTATGTATTTAGAATCAAATATTCATCCAAGTTTATTTATTGGAATTTTCTTCTACAATTTTTTTCCTCACTTGTTTGCTTTGGCTTGTCTCTCTTATCTCCGATTTGAACTCATCCAACAAAATCTTGTACTTTTGTATGGACTGAAGTTTAAGTATATTGAATAAACTAATTCCTTCAAATTCTCTACCAACTGGCAATTGAAATCTTCATTTTGTCACAAAAATTAAACTTGTTTATATGCTATCGGGAGAATGACCGATGTATTGATTTTTTCCAGTTCACAATTCATCTTATATTAGAATCAACTTTTAAACTTATTTTAGGTTCTATTGGGAAAACATCTAAGGCAACATTCGAATCGGCTTTTGCATTGGCACTAGGTATTGGTTTGCAAAATTTCCCGGAAGGATTAGCCGTTTCGCTTCCACTTGCTGCTTTTGGCCATACTAAAATGAAGTCTTTCTTTTACGGGCAACTATCCGGTTAGTTTTTAAAACCTTTTTCTATGTTTTTCTTTTCTTTTTCAAGTTGCAGTTTAACTTTAAATGCAAACAAAATTAAAGTTTGAAAGTTTTGGTATCAAAAATCATCCTTTTTTTCTTCTTTTACTGGGCAAAATTTTTCATAATGGCTTAATAACGGCTGGATTTATTGGTACAATTTAATGGCGAAAACTGCTTCAGGAAGATGATGTTTTAGTGTGCGATATAGTAGTTACTCTAGGTAATACTTGAACGGTCTTAGTAAGGCTGTGTCTAATAAAGTCAAATATTTCTCTTTTAATTTTTAATGAAATTTTAATTTCTTTCGAGATTTTTGTAGAATTTTTTGTAAGATAAGTTAAATGACTGCAGATTATGTAAAAATAATCTACTCCATTCGTATAAAAATGTAAGTATCCTTTCTCAGGGCGATTTTCTTTCGCCAAGGGCTTCAAAAGCTTTTTTCTTTAGGTATGGTAGAGCCATTGGGAGCATTAGCTGGTTCAGCTGCCGTGATCTTAATGGAGCCAGTTTTGCCATATGCGCTAAGTTTCGCTGCAGGTGCAATGATTTATGTTGTTCTGGATGATATTATACCGGAAGCACAACGAAATGGTAATGGTCGATTAGCATCTATAAGTTCAGTTATTGGTTTCTTGATTATGATGGCATTGGATGTCGGTTTGGGTTGATTATAATATTAGCAATAGTCTTGAATCTCACTTAATTTACTTTTGCCAATTTTGTTGATTTTGTCAAAGTTTCATTTTTTTACATATTTTTTATTTGCTTTTAAATTGTGACTTAGTCTTGTTTTGTTTAGAAACTATAAATATTAGTCTTTTCCTTGTAGTGATTCTGTTTACGAACATTTTGGATAAGATTTAAGGTAGATAAGATTATTGTGGACTGATAATATTAGATTTTAGAGAATAAGATAGGAGGTATCAAGACATGGTTCGTTACTATAATTTAGAAAAACGATACTAATGTTTTTAACAAGTAATATAGTTAAAATTTGAAATGTTTTTATAGAATTACCAGAAAAATTTTTGAAATGTTACAATGCTTTCTGAGTTCAAAATTTCAGGAAATTTGGCTCTCTCCAATAATGATTTGTTGTATTTATTGCTTTATTTTTGAAATTTCATTAGTTTTATGCAGTGTTTAATACTGTCTTACAAGAATTACTTTTTTTTTGAAGTTCAGTTCTGCTTATTTTTCATCTCCTTTCTGATATTTCTGAATGGTATTACTTATTAGTATTTCGAAACGATTGAAATTGTTACACTATCCAGGTTTTCAATTTCTGGTATTAATTACATGAAGACGTGGATTAGCCACGTTTCTAATTATTTATTATAACTGAATTGTATTAACTTATATTCCTCGGGATGTTCCTTTATTCAAAAATATGAATCAAACGATTCATTATCATAAACTAACAGGTCGATCGCTTTTAAAGCTCGATTGGTTGTTCGAATAATTATTATCATTATTCCTTTCATAATATTTCACTTATATATCATTGTCAAGTGTTATTACATATCAGCCTTATTTATTCATTACTTGCAGTGAACGTACAAACTGTATAGAAGTGACTTTAAAGCAGTAAGATTACTTTAAAACTTTTTCTTATCACTTTAAAATCATTTCTATACGGTTTACACGCCTATTGTTCGTTCTTTTTTTGTATAAGTTATATAATCGATTCAGGATATTAGAGCCTGAAGGGAAGTATTTATAGTTGGTGATAATTGCACTAACTAAAGTATAGCGTAACTGATGGTAAAGGAAGGCAGTAACAAGTACTTTTATTTCATAGTGATGCTTTTATATTGTTTTGGAAGAATGATTAAATTGTGCAGATTGTAAAATACCGACTATCAAATTGTTTAACTGCAGACATTATTATTGGGTCATTAGTGGAATATTTTTCATGAGATGAAATTGAGGTTTTACATCTCACGAAGATTACTAACGGCTCATCCGCACTTGAGAATTCTTTTTTCTTTGCGTCTACTATGACACTGAGCTAGCCTTCAGAAGAGCTGTAATAAATCTCTGAGAAATGAAGTGAAATCCTATGCTTCAATCTTTACATCTCTTGGGAAGTATCCCAACATTCCTTAACTGATCTTCGTTATTACAATTTCCTAATTGATGACTTTGCATATAAGGTATTGCGCATCATTTTACTTATAGCATATATATGCATCCGTCAAATAGGAAATAAATGAAGTTTATATAGAATGTCATATACTAGAAGAGTTTAATTAAATACGCAATCATGATTTGTATCTCGTACGTTGGTTGATACGTTAACTGTACCTCCATACCTCCAGGAATCGATGTTTTGTCTTGAATGCTTCATTTCTTTGAGATTATCATTATTACCGATTAAAGCGTTAAGCATCAAAATTGATACAGTTTATAACGAGGCGAATGGTACTTCCATACAATTTGTGTCAAAGAAATTTTTCTTTTTAAAACATTGAGGTAGTAAATTGGGAATCGCTGACTACACCAAATCGTACGCATTTAAAAGCATACTTAACAATTGCAGCTTGCTAGCGATCTTAATTTCATGAAATTTTTTAAGAGGTAGTATTTGAAGGTTAACAGCACTTAGTTTTGAAAATGTAACTCCAACTACTGTACAATACAAACTATTCCTTGCAAAAGTACATGGGTCGAATTTTTTTCTCGCACAGATTACGTCACCAGTTGTTTGCTTGGTCCACAAAAGTAGGCAAATATAGCAGATACTCAAGGAACGACAGGCCCATCAATTCATTTCTTTCACCCGACTGCGCATATGTCTCGTCAAAGTACTGAGATAAATAGTACGAAGATAACTAATTTGTTAACATCTACGGTAAAGCTATTAACATAGTTAGATTTGTTTTGAAGATGTCATCACTGAATGTATCTGTTACGTGGCACATTCATAAAATATTTGATTTGTTAATCAAGGATTTCAAAAATTTCATGAGCAAATTAGTTCAAGATCTTTCCAATAACAATTTCAAGAAAATTGACTAGGCGGTCAAAAATGCAGAAGAAAAATCAAGCAAAAATATGGTATAAAATTATTTTTTTTCTACCTCCTTAAGTGCAATGGGCGAGTAAGAATCTTAAAGTGTGGAAAGCTTTCTTACTCGAAAAAAAAGAAAAAATTGATAGTGATTTGTAAAACAATTCAGTTTCACTTGTCCCATTAGGTTCATACTGATTGAGAAACAAAATTAATAAACGACTGATATCGAAGACTAATTTATAGTACTGGAATTTCAGTTGCATTTCATGAGAAAAACTTTAGAATTCTTCTGTTTATTAAGAGTAGAGAAATAAGGATCTCTTTTCTAGAGATATTAAAATAATAAGCTTAATGATTTTATCGCAGAAGCTAACTGAACTGGAGAGATTAAGGAGGAAAAGCTTAAACTGAATGAATGTTGATTGCTGAAACAGCCTCCTTTTAGGCATCAAAATATGAAAAATAACCGATTGAGATAAAATATATTAGAAACTTATAACAGTAAAACTTTATAGTTGAATGAAGATGTCAAAAGCTTGCCTATTAATAAGACAGTTATTATGTTGTAGTGACAAACAGAGAGAACTTTTTTCGTCTTGAACAAAAAAACTAATTAAACATGTACACGTTCGGTAATTCCAAATGATGTACACGTGTGTCCTAAACGCGTGTGACCCGCTACTTTTTGATTTCTCACATTGCATATTTCTGAGTCCACTCACGAGCTAATTGATTATACCTGCAATGACCAACTTGTTTAGTCTCTCAAAATTATAGACCTAACGGAACAGAATAAAAAAAAAAAAGAGTCACTGTGATATAATCTAAATTTTACTCGTTTCTAACAAAACTGATATCCGGATAACGTAGATAATACATACAACACCAAACACCAGACCGCGACAGCACCTCGAACTTTGAATATAAAAAGTCCGTCTAAATTTGCTGATTGCATATGCATACGATTATTCCAGAATTGACGTCGTCATTCCATAGTTATATAAGTTATATTACGTCTTCAAATTTAATAAACAACATTATGGCTAAAGTTTTTCCGAAAACTTTCAATTCCCCTTGGCATCATCAGATCTTACTACTTTTTTCGTTAGTATGAGAAAATCTTTATGGGTGAGATGTTCACAGAATTATGAATAAAATAATTAAAAATTTCGTTTACATAGTTTTTTTACGTATTTTTACATAGTGTTCCTTAAAAAAAAAAATACCTACCTATCACGATCTGTTTTGTAAACGCGAGCAATTTCCGGTACCAGCGGATCATCTGGATTTGGGTCGCAAAGAAGCGAACAAATCGACAGAAGTACTTTGGAAATAGTAAGTGCTGGCGACCATTGAGAACGCAATATATCCAAGCAAATGCTGCCGTTGCTGTTGATATTTGGGTGATACATGCGCGTTGTAAATGCTACCTTCGGCGGTTTGAATGGATAATCCGTTGGAAAATGAATTGTTAAGAAGAAGACACCACCTAAATTCTTTTTCAAAAAGTATAAACAAAAAAGCTTTCAAACTTTCAACTGATTGGAAAAAAAATGCTGTGACATTTTTTAGGTAGGAAATATCCTTTGATTTTTTATTTCTTAGAAAACTTAATGATTGAATAGCTTGTCACACATCAAATTAACTTATCATATATTAAGCATGAAACTTATATGACCAACTTATCATAACTAAGCATTGTAATGGCGACGTAAGCTAATATAAATATCACGACTCGAAATATTTAAGAAACTTAGAATGTTTAATATGCTTAAACAGAAATCTGAAACAAGAAGTTTGATAAACTACACTCTGTATACTGTATGAATCTAAAATTTATATACCTTGATAAGGTGATTCAGGTGGACCCATTATTGTCGCTTGCCAATGAAACAAGTCGTCACCAACAGGGCCTGCACTGCATTGCGCTGGCGGATCACGACCTAAATCCTGAAGCTCTTTCTGGATTCGCTTAAGTGCCATTTTACACTGAAGCAATGTGTTCGACCGGTCCCAACACTGAGATATAAAATGTTAGTAATTAATTTCAAGATTATTTTATAAAAAAGTTGACAAGTGAAAAGTCGTCACAACATCAGGAATAAGTTGAAATGAGATATGATACCCTACCAATTCTTAGGGCTTATTTTTAGAATTAAAGCAAATATCAACTCCTCCTATACATCTGATGAGTCTTAAAATGACATATTTAATCGTGATAACAAGCAGAAAATCCGTTGTACATAAAAAGTGTCTTAAAGAATAGAAATCAAAAATAGCATGAAACGGCAGATCGAAATTCAAGACATATACTAGAAAGCACATTGAGACAATGTTATGCAAGTATTTTGAACATTTTTTGAGAAATTAAACCTTAAAGGGGAAGGCACAAGTGAAGTAAAATAATTAATAAGTAGATAAGTAAAACTGAACACTAAGAACCATACAACTCTATTTCAAAGTATATGTTTCTAGTTTCGGACTTGAAAAAAAAAAGAATGACTTCCATTTTGGATTAAACCAATAACCATAAAACAATACAGGGAAATTGGCATCTCATTAGGAAGAAATCACAACAAATGCAAATTTTAAGCTTGAGATATTATACATAAACTGCTCCCATCATAAAGAGTCAATTTAGATGAAATTCAATCAGGATACCATCTTACCACGACAGAGATGGAAAGATGGTTGGTTCAAGGAACTCCACAGCTATCAATAAATACTTCAACAGATCGAGTAATTCAAACTGTGACTTAAATTAATGGATTAAAAGGAGTGACTTGACAAAACTTTAGTATTTAACATCTATTGAAGAATATATTTCACTTTTTTTGACATTAATTATGTCATCACAAGTTGTCTTACATTAAACTATCAACATCTACTAGTAAATATAAAATGTATCATGTGCTGCAAAAATGCAAACAGATGGACGAAATGAGCGAAATCATTGTCAATCAGCAAAAACGGAAAAAGTGAACGCAGAAAAAAACAAAACATTAAAAGTAACGCCACAGTGGAGTGATACGACTATGTTAGCTTGGAATAATGAACTGATCAAGGGAACAAGTTTGCATTATATCACTTCCAGAAGTGCAAATGCAAGTACAAGTACAAGTTCCACTTCTATGTACACGCATAGAAAAGTATGGCAATCCGTTGTATCTCACAAATCTTGTTACCCAGCACTAATACTATTACTACTATTTATTAATATAGCTGGATAACCTAAACCTAAATATAGTATTGTCAGAATTAGCACATCTGATGACAGTTATAAAACAATTAAATATATGGAACTGTAGGTAACTAACGTTACAATTGTAAATCAGTTACAAAGAAGCTAAGTCGAGGAGATAACATCCATTTCTAGCTTATGTCAACCCCAACCCAAACATTGGGGAAATTGGTTTAAGCTTTGGTTTAAGCTTCGAAACCAGTTCCCATAGAGTTTCATAAATTTCTATTCTACTAACCATGTTATATAACTTGTTGGAAGTGACGGGCTAATGTGCGATAATAAAATACAAAAATTTGTAGAGTATTTGGTATTTAGTGGAAAATTCCATTTTTCTTTCTGTTAACACTGAAAGAGATTTTTTTTTTTTTTTTTTTTTTGAGAGAGAATTTTTCAAAACAAAAGTCGGAGAGAAAATAAGAGGAAATTTCTTGATCAAAATTTTGAGAAACCCATCACAAAAAATGGAAAATTTTCAGAACAAAGTGAAAAAATTCCGAAAATAGACATGAAAGCTTCCAACAACGGAAAAAATTCGTTCCGGAATTTATAATTAAAAAATATGTCTAAAGCAGGAAACGAAATTAAAACTTAAATACGGTTGCTCCCTTTGCTTATTCAGTAATCAATTCTCAACTATTTCTTGCTCTGCCTTCTTCATTCTTTTTTCTCTTATGCACACAATCCGGACACCTAGACACGATGACGTCACCATACGATGACATGATGAATCACTATTACTACAGGGTTAATTGAAAATACTTCTTTCTCCGACCGGTTATGATATCATCTAAATAAAAAGGCTGCATGATATCATGTTAAATCCGGAAAAGTGTACAAAGTGCAGTCCTCTCATCGCAATAGCAAGTGCATCGTGCAAATACTTCGCCACTACCACTACCTCATTTTTCTGCCGTAATATCAATTGCAAAACGAATGATCAAACAAGGAATTACCGGATGTAAAGAAATGATACGCAACCTGTACTGCAACCTAAAATCCACCGCATGAACCAATGAAACGCTCCTACCATTCATCATTCATCTATCTACATTCTCCTATTACCACATGCAGGCTTTCGTCTCGAAAGTTAACTTCATTTTGAAATTAATGAAATTTTCAAATGAAATTTATTTTAAAATGTGTTTGAAATGATTACATTCCATGACAGTTCATTTGTTCACCATCACAAAGCAAACTTTTAGCACAGTGAAACGAATTCTTGTTATACGATTGAAATTTTTATCAGTGTGAATTTTTTTCAACAAAACCTGCAATTTCTCACAATTGGTTTCGTATTCTGATATTTAGCATTTGCAAACTTTAATTTAGTTCAACCTTGATTTAAAATAATGATAATATCAATGAAGCATTTAACTGTCTTAGCAACTCCTAACTGTCTCATCAACATTACAAAAGTTAACATACATATTTCTATTCAAATTGTCAAATACACTAATTTTAAGTTTTTATCCTCCAAAATATTAAATTAACCTAACTGAATTAATAGAAAATATTACAACATTTTAGAACCGAAACACTTCGATACTCCAACAAAGTTGATGAACAGTGTAGTGACATCGAGAAACATAACAGATCATCCTTTCCGGTACTTACAGGCATCCTTTCCGGACGAATTCAAAGGCATTTTACTTTTATCGTGACTATTTCGGTTATGGTTTCATTTTTCTCCAACTGCTAAAGTTCTCATTAGTTACCTTTGGCTTTGTCGTGAATCTATATTGTTTGTCATGATTTTTAACATAATTCTTCCGTAATTTGTCATTGGTTTGAGATTTAAACTTATTATTAATGTTAATCACTAATAATTGCCGTAATCCCTACTTGAGTAACTTTTATTTGTCATATCTTATGTTTTAGATAATCATACTATAAATGTGGCCAACTCGCGTATTATCGCGTAGTGTACGTCGAACATATATGGAATTAGACTTTGCTAAACACGTGCCAAAAGAATATGTGGGAAAAGTGAAGCGTACAGTTCCTAAAAAAGTTTATACCAATCGATACGGTGCACCTGATATTGTGCGTTGGACGTAAGCTTTTTTATATGTAGAGTAGTTAAATTTTTGAACATTTAAAATCTTCAAAAATTTGACGAAAATATCTTCAGGTTGCATCCCGATGATTACGTACCATCCGATGGACGCCCATGGGAATTAGAAACATTTGAGAAAAACGTACAACGAGCACGTGAATATCACCAACACAAATTAATGCATAAATTCTTTGAGCTAAGGTAAATTTCTTCCATTTTCTTTCGAAAAAACAGTGAGAGGCACTGAGTTTCCTTTATTTTCAATTAGCTGAATAATTTTCATAACATATGTCCTAATAGGAGCCTTAATCAGTGAACTTTTTATTGGTTAAATGGCAAATACTGTAAGTCCTTCTTGCTATAAACATGCTTTCAAAACCTTTCAAAATGAGATTTAAAATTTTTCGGCTCCCATATCTGTGCTACTACGTTAGTCGAATTGTCTGTGGGTTTTTTCTTTTGGGAATTTGAAATTTGGTTTGATATAAAATGTCGTTTGATGTATCAGATTATATTGATTTATAAATCATCAATATACCTTATCCGGTGTCGTCATCAGTGCTCATTAATGTCAAAAAAGTAATTATGACCTTGGCCTTCGCTTATGATAATTTATCAACTAAAATGTTGATTTTTTTTGCAAAAGGTCTATCTAGTTTTTCATTTGTCGTTTATAAGCTACATGTGTTATAATAGGTTGGATTTAAATCTTCGTTATTTTAGTCAAAGAAGCAAACAGTATGCCATCGACGGCATTAGTCTTATTTCTTTTCTCAAAATTTTGTTTTCCTACTGATAATTGACAGTATTTTAAGACATGAAAAAAAGGTGGCCATTCCAGCGGAAGAATGGACAATATTTCCGGGTGATTTGGTGCAGGTGATGATTGGAAAGGACAAAGGCAAAACGGGAGTTGTATCACGTGTTAATAAGGAAACCAATGCTATATTTGTGAAAGGACGACATACCGTGAGCTTTAATTACTATTCTTACCATTAATAATCGATAAAATATTAAAAAAAAAATCTTACTGTTACTAATCTTTTTATTTATAATTACTACAAATTCACCTGTAATTTTTTATTTTTGTTTTTGTCTAGTCGGGGAGCTGTAATCCGATGATTTTCGTTCTTTATATATATAAATTTAAATTTTTTATAGAAACTTATCAACGATTCCGAAAACTTCAGTGACATGGATCCTCTTTATCGACAAATTGAGCAACCTTTATATGTTCATAAGGGACAAGTGAAGCTAATCGACCCAAGTGATAAGTATGTTGTCAATCGAAATTTAAGTGATTCAGTTCAGCTGTTTTTTAATTAAAGTTGTCTATGCGATATCTCTTTTTTTGTCTAGTCGGGGAATTATTCCTTTATATGATTATTCAACATTATTGTAGGTTACGCATAAGCTTGCATTGGCTGTTAAAGAAAATTCACATATTCAACTGTCTACTGCTCTATTCATTCATTCGGTTGACATGACATCATTTTTCTATTTTAGTGAACCTTGCGAAGCAGCCTGGGTGTTAAATGAGGAAGGGAATGAGTATATCAGGATCAGCAAGAAGTCCAAATTCCAGATTCCAGTGCCACAATTGGCTCAAGTTACTTCAGAATACCTGAGTCCCGATCGATATGTTGGTATGTTTGTTAGGTTTTGGAGTGATTGTAAGTATTCGAAAAGATGTAGTTATAGATGAATAATATTTATCTGCTAGCTCCATTGTAATATGAGACTAGAATCCATACATCAGCTTATGAGATGATTTCTAGTCACTCGTGATGAAAAGATATTTACTGAAGTAGTTTATCACAAGATTCTATTACAGAAGTGGAAGGTAAGGATACACCTGCAGAAATTGTCCTGGAAAAAACCTACAAACCTGTACTCAAATCATTTGAGGAAGAAATTGCAGATGCAATGGGTATTCAAGATAAGCGTAAATTGCAACCATCATATTGGTATTGATCTCGTGTGCATATCATAAAGCAAGGTTTTACTTGTGATATTTGATGATTAGAATTGCAGTAAATTAAATTAAGAGGTCAAGCGCATAGAATTAAAAAAAGCGCAGTAGATTTGAGTCTGAATAAAATCAATCGATAAATTTATTGGATTATGCTTATCACTTATAGGTTCAGTTATTTGAAAGTACAGAAAAGGTTTTGCGCATTAGTTCACAGTAGATGACATATTTTTTGTTTCATGTTTGAAAAACATTCAGATTTAGGAATTGTCTTTTCAATTCCTTGATTTTGATGAAAATCATATTCTCCTTAATCACTTGGTGGTTACTTATTATCATGTTTTTATCGATCATAATATACATCGATTGAATATACCTTGTATAAATTAGTGATAAAATGATAGAAACTTTGTCACATATAGGCTTCACTTCCACATAGAATCCGATAGAGTCATCACATGACAAAGACTTGACAATATAACGAAAGAATAAGTATATTTTTGTATTTTTAAGCAAGGTGGAAGTATCTTGCAAAAAGCAAATAAAAAAAAAAGAAAAAACTGCTATCATTATTTCGGATTTTCCTCGACTTATCCATAGTAGGTATATATAGTTTTTTTTTTATTGTAAACTATGCATTACTATTGCTTGCAGAATCTCCTTATAATTAATTAAGGTAAAATTTCATATATCGGCCTTTTAATTTTAATTTCCCCTCTTTTCACGTAATAGAAGTAAACTTTTGTAATTACATGTGAATTTAAGGAGGTTGTTGCACATAATGTTTATTTTTTTTTATCATTAATACTAAGAAGCGAGAGTAACATGATGATTTGTGCATAACCGTTTCATTTTTTAAGTGATGAAGGATTAAAATATAATGTATCGTTATGCAGAATTTCGGGTTAATTTTCCTGCTTAGATCTTTCGGCCAGTGAACATTTAATTATGCTTGATTTTCGCGTTATGGATATGGTATTTGCTGTTGTTACTTATAAATTTATGGTTAGGACAATCGGTTTTGATATTTTTTCTAATTTATTGTTAAGAAAAAGGGATTAGCTAGACGAATAATTTAGCTACGTCTTTTGGAATTGTTTTTTGAATATGTTAAAATGTATGATAAAAAATTTCTTTACCTAATTATGTTTCTTAACTGGTTTGGTTTGAAATTATACACTGAAACTATACGTACACCGTTTTTTTTTTTTTTTTTTTTTCGACGTATTTTTCGAATAGTCTTACAACGCATATGACACATTTCCGTTTTGGCATGTACAATATCATAATTTTTTCTTTTCAACCGAAAAAAAAATCTTAAACCAATAATGTTTTGTGGTGGAACTATGAAAACTTTAATTTGAAAATACGGATAATAATTTGATTAGAGATGACCATTATGCTTATATTCACTTTTAACAACTCACCAAATCAATGTTTTTCTAAAGATTTTGCAACATTTTCAAAACAATATCCCATTGTTGTGGATTGGCATCTGTGACATTACAAGTGATTGACCATTCATTCAATCCGTTCAAATTTTTAATGCTTCCAAGTCAAATTTGCTGTTGCTTTTTTCTTTATCTTTTCAGGAAACTTACAAGAATATGCCAACACATATTTTTTTCTCTAATCAACAGTATAATTTATGAAAGAATATGAACATGAATATAATGAAATATTTGTTGCATTTAATTTTCATAAACATGCATGTAAAAAGTTGATTTTTCTAAATATCCTATATCGATATCAAGTATCATATTCATTCTTCTTGAATTTTTAACAAAGGCAAAACAAACATTAGTCAAAATTTTGAATCATTTTAAGCATTGGTAAACTATTTGCAGAATGGTTTAATACTATCACTTGAGAATATCATTCTTTCTTATATCTGTAAAATCGTTAGGATCATAAAAAAGGAAAAACAAGAAAGGACAAATCATCAATATCAACTGATTAAAAATAGTCACATAAATGATATATATATATATATATAATGCATTCAATCATCACGTTCATAATCAAATCCCATAAATTCATAAATGTTGTCATTTTTGTAAATGTTTATCGATCGATTTTGAACATACAGAAAATGTCGTAGGTCTGGTTCAACAATTCGATCCGTGCAAACAATTTTTTCCAAACGACTAATCTTTTCGGATGTTCCTGAGATAAGAAAAGAAAAATTAAGAGTAAAAAAGAGAATAGAGGATGGCATTTTAATTTATATAAGCTACTAAAATACAGTTATTTTAATGAGTGAGAATTGTTAATTTCCATTTATTTTTATCTGTTACAAGCAATCGAAATATAAATTTTAACTTACAGTTAATAAAAGTTTCCCTTGTGTCTAGAATAGAGAGAAAGGAGAAGAAAGAAAAAAAGTGGTTCTGTCAAGATGAATTCCATAATAGATGAAATTCTGTCAGCTGTCAACTACTATCATTATCATTGTAAGTAATACATAAACTTAAAACAGATACTTTTATAAAGGATATAACAGTATTATTTTGGAAAACAAGACTCTAATTAACTTCAGTAGTAAAGATATAAGTTAGGAACATGGAAGACTACGATATGTATTCCTTGCTAAGTTTGTTCATCTATCCTTTCTTTTTCTAATAAATAACCATGAATTTCACTTAAGCTTCTCAATTTCAAAATTTTTCCTGTTTTTTGGAAAAATCATAAATGATCATACCAGCAATGAAGAACATGTACGGTGGACAATAATATGGTTTATCATCTCGCATTACTTTTCTCATCTTCGCATTTGGCAGATGAAATGTTTTTAAATGTTTCCAAATTACTTCCATTAATTCCTCACTTCCTTCGCTTGACATGAAGAAAAGAATTGCTAATAAATTCATTTCCATTTCTCTGAATTAATCTTTTCATTTATTTTTTTCTCATTTTTACTGTTTTTATTTTCTCACAATTAAGATATTCAATTTTTGAAAAAAATTATCTCCATTTTTCGCTTTATTACTTTTTAAGTGATATATAAGAATTTAAAGTAACTATGAAATCACTCCTAAGTCAAAAAAAAAAAAAAAATACCAAATAATTTAAGGAGATATAATTTTAGGAGAGATGATTGAAAGCTCACAAAAACATTACTATGATCTCAACAGTATCGATACTTAATCATTCATATTGACTATTGCTATCAAATGAATACGTTCCATTGATTTATCATGTGATCCCGATAAATCTTGATGGAATTACATCCAAGGATTTAGTTAGTAATTTGATAGATTACTAAGATAATCATTGTTTTCATGATAACATAATTCATATTACAATAAATATTATTATTATTATTTTACTTCATGTATTAATTTGAAAAAAAATGTAAATGAAGAAAATGAAAAATTTTGAGATCAACAAATATTCGTAATGTATTAATTATTAACATTAACATACTTGTACAAATTTAACAATTCATTTAAACAAGCCATAACTTCAGCATCTATGCATGTTAAGGTTGGCATCATCATACTCCAATCCCAAAAAATTTGTTTTATTGCGGGGAAAACATTTTTTAAATGTCTCAAAAATCTCATTCCACTATTTTCAATGCTAGGATGTAGTCCTTGTGCAACAATAAATTCAACTGCAGAATTCAACAGTTTTGTATTCTCGAATGTTTCTACCTGAAATATAAAGAAAACTTTTCTTTTTATTAATTTGAAAACATAATTTTTATAAAAATTTAATAGAAACAAAATTAATAGAAATTAATAGTATTAATAGAAACAAAATAACTATTTTATAATGTAGTTTCCTTCGAGCTTATTCAAATCCTTAATGGTAAACAATTTTTTAAAATAAATTTAAGAAAAAGTTTCTCTTTCATGAAATTTTTTCGTAAATTATTAAAAACAGAGAGAAAAAAAATATATAACGACACACACACACACATTTTCACACGCCTTAACATACATACAAATAAAACTGACATTTACACCAGGATATCTGTGAAATCGAACCAATCTTACGTTCAGATTTTTAACAATCAGTTGAATTTCCTTCGTTGGACAACTTCCATTTAAATCAATCAATCGAATCTAAAATACGTTTAAAAAAAACAATGTTTGATTTTTTTTTTTTTTTATGAGCAATAATTTTATCCAGTTATTTTAAAATCAAATTATAATAAAAAAAGTCTATTATGATATATCAGTCAACGACTGCACAATTGTGTATGTATCAGTGTATCAACCTTCCGGAGAAAGTCGTACCAATCTTTGAATCCATCCGATGATTTAAATTATCAATGGTTGTATAATATCTGTGACACTTGATAAAAGTCCATTTCGAAATCTTATCATAATCGTAGCAATAGATGATGATAATAATAATGATTGAATCATATAAAAGTATGATGGAAGATTTTTCCGAAAAACTTCAAATACATGATAATGATGTAAGGATTAATTAAAATTTTTAATCAAATTATTTGGAGTAATTCATGATATGATCATAGGTTGGCTATGCCATCGCATCATCAAACAAAATTCCTTTTCTAATACTCATAATGTTGCCCTAACTTTAATTAATCTATTTAGTATATGAAAAACTAAAAAAAAAAAAAAAAAACCTGTGCATCTGATAACGCTGGGAATAAAGCTTCAAAATCGTCATCACTAATACCTTTCTGTTGACTTCTATAGGAAAATGCAGTTAACAGAGATGCATTTGATAAGAAAAATGTTATGTCTGAAATTTGCGCATCCGATTCACTTACAAGCAAATAACGTAAATCGGATAAAAATTCTCGAACCTAAAATATAAAATATAGAAAAAATTTTTATGAATATATATATATTTTGAAAACACTAAAAAAATTGGATTTAAAATCAAAAACATTATAAGATAACTTAGGGAAAGAAAAATTTTCAAGAAATTTTAAAGTTCGATATATTTCATAAGAAAAATTATTTTATCTTCAAAAAAAAACAAAACAAAAAGTATTTAAATTGCACCAAAAAAAAAAAAAAAAAAAAAAAAAACAAAATGGAAGAGAAAAATTAATAAATGTTAATCAATTGATGATTTTGTTTTCAATCAATATTTACCATTTCTGTGCTAGCTTCTCTCAAAGCAGTAACTAATTCATCCAGTGGATTCTCATTGAATAAAACTTCAAGTATAGCTGGTCCTAAGGTACCTAAAGCATCCTTTCTCTTTACAACCACCAGATGACCCGCCGTAGCAATCTGTCGCTTAGGGTCCTCACCCATTCGTTTTGCATGTTTCACTCGCCATAGCAGTGCTCTTTCTCGTAGAAACCCAATTTTTTTCTCCCTTACCCAAACTGTAAATTGATCACTTCTTAGTGATTCCTGAGCCATTCTAAATGATATTAATTAGTATAAAAGTAATTTACAGAATAAAAAAATGGAAAAAAAGGAAACTATCAAAATCAAAGGCTATCAAAAATTAGGAAATATTGAAAAGACTTTTTTTAATTCTTTAATTTTACTTTGGAATGTTTCTTGTTTTTGTTTTTGTTTTTTTTTTTTTTTTTCAAAAATAATAACTAATATTGCATAGAATAATTTCATATTATGTCATTTTGTCATGATAACTATAATAATTTCATAGTTTTAAGAAAGAATAAAAAATATCTTTAAACATAGAAGAATAAAAAATTTGTTTATCATTAATGAAAAAGCGAAGTTTTAATTACAAATATATTTTATTAAGTAATAACTCATAAAAAAAAAAAAAGTTATTTCTCTTTTTTGAAAATTTATAGAAGAATTTGAAATTGATAAAAGAATTGAAGAAAAATTAGAAATGGAAGTTTAGGAATTAATTTCAACAAATCGACAAACCTCTACAGTAGCAATAACGTTTCGAAAGACTAAATATCTGTATATAAATCTATACACTGATCGTTGATCTCTGATAAGAAAATCCCTAATAATTTCACCGAACCAACAAACCTCTCACTAGTGCCAATACTACTAAAATGAGCAATAAATCATAGAACCAAAACTCTCAATCATATCTCTGTTTACCGCTTAACTTGACCTTTGACATACCACTTCTTTCAGTGGCATTTTTTCCTCACATACTGTTTCATCTTCTCTGTCACGAGTATTGAAATATTAAAAAAAAAATAGTAATAAACTTCAGAAAATTTTTTTTAATTAAATCAGGTGAGAGACCGCTATCCTTTACCGGATATCAACAACATACGTTCAGAAGTTAGAGAACGGAAGACGTTTTGCATTTAACAACAACCGGAATTTTGCATTTTAACATATTAATTACTGAGCACTAATTCGGAAAGTACTATTTTTACATCATACAACAGAATATGAATACTAAATAATGGATGATTAACATTCCCAATCCTACAAACTGTTCTCTGAGCTATATCATATCATGTACATTTTCCGGTGCATAACCGTTTCCGTATTTATATATCATTGAATCCTTATCCGAAACTGATATGTACAGAGAAGAAATTATGTAAGAATTCTTAGAAAAAGCTTTGTACCATAAATTGCTTGAGTTTAACACTCTGTTCGTTTCATTTAGAACCACTTAGGTTGATGCTTTTTAAAATATTTTTATATCAAATTTCGAAATCAAGTGTTTACACTCATCCTAATGTATTTTGACTTATCCTGACGATTATTTCAGAAATCTTATAAATTTTTAAAAAACATGATATAAAGTAGAAAAATGTCATAGCTAAACTAAAGCAATACGTAGAAGATATGTCACTTCTATGAAGATATGTGAAACAGTAACCTGTTAACCTGATTTATTAATGTTACGGATCGATTCTATCATGAAACTTTTTGCATTATCCCCATTTTTATTCGTTAAGTTGAAATTTTTGAAATATTGTTTTGTCAAAATAGACCATCTATATTTGTTTGAAAAATAATACTTTCCTTTGCAATATGTAAAGTAAAAATATGTCTCACCTTAAACTTTACTTTTAGTAAATACGACACCATTATCTTATTCCAGACTATTTTAGGGAATTATCATGATAAAATTAAGCTTTAATCTTTGTATATATCTTTCCATTTCTTTCATTTACTACCATATGTTGGAAATATGAAGTTTTGTTCATTAGTTTGACCAGTTCTATTCAAATGGACATTTTAAACAATTTCATTTCAGCAGTTAATTTATATTTGTAAGTTCTAACAAATTTTAATTAAATGTTCATCTTCAATAGCCAATTGACCATTGCTGGTGAGCAATAAGTTCAGCTGTTTAGGCCATTTAAATCATTTAATTCAGATAATTAATCTTCTGCTGCTCTTTTAAATGGTAGGCTCTTGCAGTGTTGCAAATTTACATTTTAAATTACTCAGTCGAATTTACAAAAAAATTTATTTAATATTAATAAGGTATCTGGCTCAATTATTCGACTCTGATAAGCTATCTGGCCTAGTTATTCAGTCCAATAGAAAACTCCAACTAGTTTGTTACCCATAACGAATAATTAAGCCTACTAAGTCTCGCACGTCTCCACAAACGAATATATTTTCAAAACCCCTTTTACAATAAATGGAAGTCATCGTATTCCGCAACAGCTACAATATTTTACGGGTCGGCACCAATTTACGGTTGAAGCGAAAAGAATATGCGACATTTACAGTAGGATAGTTGCTAAAAGCAGTGTTGTATTATGATTTTCTTCCTCCTGTTGATTTTATAAGTGCATGTGGTTCATTATGTTATATTAATTGTAATAATTAGTTCTTGGTAGTTTTGAATCAAGTTGTTTCTTTTGGTTTAATTCATTTACGTATATATACTGCATAATTTGGTGATTAATTTTTGGCAACTGATAATAAATTTTGACATATATAATGGTAATATCTTACATTTTTAGACTGAACAAAATGTCATCCACTCAAAGCGAACAACAAACATCCAAAGCGGGGACTGATGGAACAGAAAAAAAAGAGCAAATGGAAGTTGAAGATGTAAGCTCATATTATCACTTATTCAATCTTAAATGAAGTGGCACATTTTGCCTTCATTTACGTTGACTTATCAAGGTTTTTTTCCTGCAAATTTGTTTTGGTTTTGGCAACTAAATTTTTTATCTCCAGGTAATGAGTATATAAAATATTATTTTTATTACCAAACTTAAAATTGATTTTACATACATAAGACAAGTGGGAAAGTTCAACATCATGTTCTAGTTATGCCCAAACATACGAACAGTAATTAATAAAGGTAAAATTGGTGCATTAATTATTACAGGAACCGTTAGATGAAGAGATTTTAAGAATGTCAGCGGATGATTTGAAGAGTCGGACACATTTGGTAGAAAATGAAATTCGCATCATGCGTTCCGAAATACAACGAATCAGTCATGCGATAGATACACTGACATCTCATGTCAAAGAAAATACTGAGCGTATCAAGGTAGGTATACGTTTATTGTGTTGTGCCGAAAGATAGCATGAAGCATAAGATGAGAATGCAAACGTCTATTTGGATGCTAAATATATTGTTATCAAACATCTCATGCTTTTCTTGAGTTTGTTGACTTAATAGTTAAAAAATCTAATTTCCGTTTTATGTTTACTGTTTCCAGGTGAACAAAACGCTGCCATATTTGGTATCAAATGTTGTTGAATTATTACTTTTGGAGGAGCTACAGGAAGACGAGGGTGCAAATGTCGATTTGGATGCGCATAAAACGAAATGTGCTGTAATCAAAACATCTACTCGTGCGACATATTTTCTTCCAGTGGTTGGCTTAGTAGATCCATCGGAACTGAAGCCTGGTGACCTCGTTGGAGTAAATAAAGTTCGTTACTAGACTTTTCCCAAAAGGTTTTCATATCCGGATAAGTTTGTCTAAATTGCTTAGTTAATTCTTTCAATATTTTTTGATCCTTGATGTATTTTATATGATGACAAACTGAGATTGCAGGATTCCTATTTGGTTCTGGAAAAGTTACCCGCAGAATATGATTCGAGAGTAAAAGCTATGGAAGTTGATGAAAGACCAAACGAACAATATAGCGATATTGGTGGCTGTGATAAGCAAATCCAGGAATTGATTGAAGCGGTTGTTTTACCGATGACACATAAGGATCGATTTATAAATCTTGGAATACATCCACCAAAAGGTGTTTTGCTCTATGGTCCACCAGGTAAAATTCTCATTAACTGTTTACCTCCCGCCGCCTTTAGTTTCTTGGTTTTTCATTTAATTTGCAACTTTTCTTGTACTCCAACTTAGCACACAACCCCTACAGTTTCGCTCGTTTCAGTCAGTTAGATTTGTATCATATTTTACGTTTTTTGAAATGTGGGTATAATGGTGACTTGAATGAAAGTTATCGTATTTTATAAATAGTTTTTTTTTTTAACCTTAGGTACTGGTAAAACAATGATGGCACGCGCCGTAGCTGCACAAACAAAATCAACATTTCTAAAACTAGCTGGACCTCAGCTAGTGCAAATGTTTATCGGTGATGGAGCAAAACTTGTCCGTGATGCGTTTGCTTTAGCGAAGGAAAAGGCTCCAGCAATTATTTTTATTGATGAATTGGATGCCATTGGTAATGTTTGTTAATTGTGATAAGTTTGTTGCAGTTTAGATAATATCGCTGCAGTAATGAAACTTATAATATTGTCTTTTGTTGTATCTATTTAAGAATATACTTTAAATATATCCGTGAAGATTTTTTCCGCTTTTCATATACTTAATTTTAGTTAAGTTCGGTGGAGGTCAAATATAAAAGTATTCCTGATAATTGTATGATGTTCAGTTATTTGTAATGTCGAACGAAGTTGAAAAACGGAAATTCTTACTTATTGTATTACGTAGTGATTGCATATATTGTTCGGGACATCATATATGTATCACATATGTTTCACTATAGTACATAGTTATTTCAGGTACAAAACGTTTTGATTCTGAAAAAGCTGGTGACCGTGAAGTCCAACGTACAATGTTAGAACTATTGAATCAGCTAGATGGTTTTCAGCCGAATGATGATATAAAGGTAGAAATAATGATTTATTTATACTTCGACCTTTTTTTGTAGAAAAGCATGAAATAGAGGCAATTTTTCAGGAATTGAAATCTGAGAATTTTCTTGTTCAGGTGATTGCTGCAACGAATCGGGTCGATGTTTTGGATCCGGCTCTTTTACGAAGTGGTCGGTTGGATCGTAAAATTGAACTTCCAAGTCCAACCGAAGATGCTCGTGCTCGTATAATGCAAATTCATTCGCGTAAAATGAACGTCCAGTAAGTGTTTTAATTAGTACTGATACTGTTCAAAATAGTCCGAATTTTTGCAACTTGTCTCTTCCACCGAAAAAAAGAGTACAGAGATAATGATTTATTTGTTTATGCGTCTTACGCAAGGGAATCGTTATTGTTCTTGAATTAGTTTTTTGAATGGATATAATTTTTGAAAGACGTGATATAATAGACTAAAGTATTAATGAAGCTTTTGAAGTTACAACACTGATCGTAAATTGTTGATATACAGTTTTATAACGTTGTAAGTAGAAGTTTAAGTAAAACATATTTTTAATGATAATAGTATTGATTTGACAAACTTCGATATTTTATGATGCAGTTGATTCATGTGCACATTAAAAGATAAATTTCCAAATAGGTGAATCTAATTTTTTTAATATAATTGTATCAAGTAGGTAAATCTAATTTTAATATAATATAATTGTGATTTGTTAGCTAAAGCTTGGTATTGGAGCTTAAATTTTGTCAAATAAGCAAATTTTACAGTAGCACCTTTTTCAGCAAAGATGTTAATTTTGAAGAATTGGCGCGGTGTACAGATGATTTCAATGGAGCACAGTGTAAGGCAGTCTGCGTCGAAGCGGTATGTTTACTTTAATGATTTAAAAAGCCAAAGGGGGGTAATGATCTAAGGTAGTATGTTTATCTGTTTTGATTTTAAATTTTGTGACATGCAAGTGGTATATGATATGATACTACATGTACAACATATATATAATAATTATATCTGTATTTAATATCTGTAATATTTTTTTCTTCCACATTATTTTTCCAACTTTGAGTCAGTTTGATAGATGAAGCTAGCGCCTAACTTACTAATATTTTATATACAAAAGGAATCTGTTGTTTATACAAAGTTATTTTGATACAGTGATTTTCTAATCTGAGGTATTGCAAAGATTTAAGAATATTAAGAATTACACTTTATTTCATTTTCCACTTTTTTTTTCTTGAAAAAAATTTTCTCGGAAAACTTTATACTGTAGATTTCTTATTTTGCTCACTTATACTAATATCAGCATTGCAGGGTATGATTGCCTTACGACGTGATGCTGTTGAAGTGATGCACGAGGATTTTATGGATGCTATCCTGGAAGTCCAAGCAAAGAAGAAAGCTTCCTTGTATTACTACGCTTAATATCGTTTCTATATTATACTAATCTATTATTTATGGAGCCTGTTTTTTTGCTGTGGAAGATTGCGAACATATTAAGTGAAAGGGAAATTTTGGAATCAAAAAGAGTTCCTTCTCCAAAAACTAATATGCTGAATTAAATATGTCTAGAAAATGTAACTAACTAGTAAAATTAACCTTGTTTCATGGTTCAAATCTATAAGGAATGAAGTACTTTCAAAATGGTTTTTAATTATCTGGATCCTTTTTATTTCCTCATCTTTATCTATTTTACCGTGATGTAATCCTTTGTATATGATTTTTTATCACACAATTGAATAAAGGAATTGGTGATTTGAATTTTCTATTTACATATTCGGCAGTTTCGTTTTCCATTTTTTGTTGCATTTACCTGCAGTTTTATGACTATCGCAGATTTTTGCTTATTGTTAAATTAGTATATGCGAATTGAAAAATAGTCCTTATGAACTAAAATGGAGAGATAAATGTGTAGAGAGAATCCGAGTCATCTCTCTTAGTGTCTGAAAGGCACATTTAGGTTATGTTAAAATGAAATTTTGAGGATGCAAATATGGTTGTTATGGCAGAAATGGAGTGCTTTCTGTAATACATAAGCAATGCAGCGTGAAGTTGACGTGCCAGGGATGAATGCTGTAATGTTTTCTTAACATTGTCGAGATTTTAAACGTTATTATTTTGATATTGTTGCAGTGTGGTTTTGCATTTCATTGCGTTTTGTATGCTCCTGCAAGTTGGCTGTATTTAATTTTTTATGAATCCAACTGCTCAGTCCAATTATGGGGTATGTTTCCTTTCTTTCGGGTATGTTATGTGAGAGTTTTTTGGAAGTTGAAGTTTTCAGCCTAAAAATTAAGTTAATAGAATTTCCGGCATTCAAATACTGTTGATATTTTCTATATAATAATCCTAATGTATGGAATCCAGTTGGATTTTGATTAATCAGAATGCAAATATTGGTATATGACCTTAAGAATTTTTACCACAGCGGAAATTTTCTTAATATTTTCAGTTACTTTAAGTATTCTCAGTTTTTTCCTAAAATTTTCAGTTGGAAATAATCGAGTGGAGACATTTAGATAAATACAGCTTATCAACATATATATTTACCTCATCATGCAGCATACGATTCTTGATATATCCATTTAATTTTGTCAAATCACGTTTGCAACTGCAAAAGCAAAATACAGTTTACAGAGGAGTGAGACATGCATTAGTGCACATTATCCAAAATGAGGGTTTGCGCGGTTTGTATAGGGTATGTTTTTTTTCCTTGCTTTGCTTTGATTCTTTTAAAGATTTGATTTACTTTTGTATCACTTGTGATTTGTCTAATCATCTATTTTGCTTACATACAAATGAATTAAGCAAAATGATGATTCATAATCACTTTAGATCATTTTATGCACGACCAATACTCCTGTTATCTAATTCTGCACTCACATGTAAAGAGTTCGCTGTATGGTATTATTTAGCTAACATATCCCACAACAGTAGTCTCGATTTTTTTCTTTATTTATCCAACTGTTTAGATGTGCAAAAAGTGTGGTTAATTTGGGGTTTTTATAGATTGAAACTTATTGTTTATAATGTTAAAATAGCAATTATCTTCCAATTTAAGGGTTACTTAATGACAGTCCCACAGAATGTTGCGCCATTGATATATTGTAATGCTTACGAGAAAACACGTGAGTCGCTGAAATTTCATCTGGGTTTATCATCTGACAAATTGGTTTCTTCCTTAGCCGGTTTGTTTTATTCATTTCTTAAAGTGATGAGAAGTATATAGAAAAGAATAATAAGTGATAACTTCCAAAATTGTTCATTTATCTTTATGGTGTTTTATAAATTAATGACTTTTACATGGAATCGATCGTAGCTAAATCATTTGTTCAGTTCACTTAGTAGTAACCCAAATTTGTTTGTATATTGAATTAAATGCAAATCCATTCTTCACATAAGTCGAAAAGCAGTTATTAACATGCATAAAAATATCTTTATATGTCTTTATATGCGAAGTATACTTTAAGGTGGTACTGTATCGCTTTTAACTCAAATAATCTTTGTTCCAACAGATATTACTTCTCAATATATGATTATTTACAACAACCCTTCTGCTTTTATTGGTATGATTTAATATCAACTTTAGAAAAACTTCAAAAAACCTATTTATATGTACAACTTTTATAGGTGGCTTCATTCTGCATCCATACATAATCAGTGCATGAAAATAGTACATACATCCTGTGACCCCAATTTCGTCCAGTAATTTCACTTATATATAACACGTGTTCCAGGTGAACCTCATCATGCTGCTGTCTTGAACTACATTCATCGAAATAAGGCTAAATTATCGTCGAGACCTGCTTTTCAAATTCTCAACGCTTTATATCATGTTGATGGTTGTCGTGGTTTTTTCAGGTATTATAAGATTATAAGAATGGTTTAGGAAATATAATAGTTCTCACTAGCTCAGCAACAACTATAACTAGCATAACTATAACTAACATTGACTCAACTGTAACGTTGTTTCAGCAATTGTAATTAATAGCTAATAGTATTATACTGCTTTTAATGCTTTAACACGTTAAAAGTTTGAAAGTTCTAGTATGATAGAAGGCATACTTAACTGAAACCATCAGTACTTTATCAGTTAAACAAAAGGTTCATGCTGGCAGTTTCTCTTGTAAAGTTGGCAGACGACCTTTTGGGCGTACAACTTAATCGAGTATGATTGATTCATACATCTAAAATTAGTAAACAGTTCTGTGACATAGAAAGTTCGATTGATTTTTTGGTGAAATAGCTGATGCATTTTTTTAGATCTTTTTTTACTGTTCTTCAAAATCCGAAAGAAGAATGGCAACGTTTTCGTTTTCGTAATTGGAAAGACTATGTTGGTGGGTTTAGTGGGTTAACTGTATTCTAACTGTGCATTTTAACTTCTTATTGTTTTTGTTTTGATATTTCTAGAGGTTACATAGCCTCAACAGCATTGGGAATATCTGCTGGGTCATTGTTTTGGACAGTATATTATACATGCCTGGAAAGTATTCGATGGTGTAGGAGAAAATTTCTTCATAGTTTACTTGGTGAGCATATATTATTTACATTTTATTGTGTCATTAGCATTAAGAGAAGCATATAAAATATTAAGAATTAAAAAAAAAAAAAAAAAAAAAAAAAAATTAAGGATATGACAAAGACGGACATCCTTATCTTTTATTGGACCAAGGAGTAGCTGCAGCGACATCTTCTATAGTAGCGACAGCGCTAACAAATCCCTTAGAAATATTGCGATTACGTGCACAGGTTGATGGATCATTAAATTTTTATTTTTTTCTTTTGATAGTGCTAAATTGTACATCTAAAGGTTATTATATGACCTCAACAGCATTGGGAATCATTTTTCTTCAATTCTAAATTGTTTCAAAATTTCTGATTGTTACGATATTGAATTTCTCCAAATATTGATTTCGAGTCTGATTTTTGAAATATTTTCCAATGTAATTCTTAACATATTCAAACATGTTTTTTAAATTCAATTTTATGAATTCAAATAATTAAATTCTATTTTTTATAGGTTCAACGTGCATCCTATGCAGGTACTATTAAAACGATGTGGTTCGATGAGAGATACAGGATAATAACAAAAGGTCTTTTACCACGGATGATTAATAGCTGTATATACACGACGGCAACGATGATGGTTTACGAAACTTTGAAAAAAGTTTGCGTATTACCGGAATATCAGGGCCGAGTGATTTGGTGATATTCTTTATATATGTTTATCTTTTTTTCGAAATACTATTAAATAGAAAATTGTGGCTGCCAGTGAAATAAGAACTTAGCCAAAGATAATTTGTAAATAGTATTGAAGAAGATCCAATAAAATTATTTAAGCTACTATTTTTTAATGGCATAATTTATCATCACATTCGTTTTTTAAGACATTATCAATCAAATTTAATTTAAGACAGTGTCTGTATACCTCACTGTGCAGACAGTAATAATTTTTCGTAAATAATGCTCTTTTGAAAATTCAAATCTTTTACGTATGGTATGTATCTTTCTGAAATAATGTAAGCTGTAATATAAATTTGAAAATATATTTTATTGAGATCGTTCTATCGCATAATTATCTCTATTTTCTGTAATCCAAAATAGTTCATCTTTTTCTTTTGGGATTGCTTATGTCATTAAGACCTGGTCGTACGTAGGGTTAGTTTATGCAAATGAGTTTTCATGGAGCTATTTTCAGCTTATAGGCGTTTTTTTTTTGTTATTTCGGATAGTTCGTGCTTATCTTCCAGGTTAGTGTTATTTAGATAGATGCTGAAAAGTTGTTTGGATTTGTCAACTTCGGTGTTCTATTTTAGTTTTTTTTTTTTTTTTCATTTCACTAGTATTTTGTTTCACATTCTAATTTTGCAAGTCATATCATTACATTTTTGTACCGTATTTGTTTACATTTGCTTTATACTTCATAGTGGTTAAAAAATTCAAAAAATAAACAACAAATGATTTCGTTTTTTCCCGAAGTATTTGGCAAAAGGTTCCAAATTTAATATTTGAGCTTATTTGCACACAAAATGTTGTCAAATTATTAGTTATATAAATTTCATTTCGTAGAATGTGCAATTGATTAGTTGCTGCCTGCTCAAAAAAAGTTTGAGGATTTCCCGATGGGTATTGGTCGAATGCGTCGAGTGCAACAATGGTTATTGTTTGCTCGCCAATGGCATCTTGTAGACGCTACCGGCCAGGTTTTTTCCACTTTTATCTGATGCGAACTAAAAATTATTGAAATTATTGAGCCATACCTCTTTAAATTGAAATTTTGTTCCTTTAGATTAATTAAATTAAAAATTTCCTGTTTCCTTTAGATCTGAGGAGAACTGATTTTAAAAGTTTTCTACTGATTTAGTATCTTTTTTAACAAAAGATGCCGTTATCTCTCAGAATTACGATCTTTTATTTCATTTAATTAAGTGTTCGTTTTATCATCTTAGCTCCATTCCTTATTGATAATCGTTTTTTATTACTTTGGATAAATGAACATTTGACTGATTGGCTAGTTCAATTTATTGCTTATACACATTTTTTATAAGTGGACGATTAACTTTTTGTTTGCTCACTTCTCTTTCTAACTCATTTTTTCTTTATTTTTTCATACATTTATCTAGTTGTTGTTTATCCACTTTTTGCACCTTTCTTCCTACTATTCTTTGCTTCAATTCAGCTAATCAAACTGTTTTGATCTTAGATTACACGTTAGTTCTTTTTTGGAAGTATCTTTTCTATCTTTCCAGTTTTCTTTCAAAAAGAAACTAGACGATAGTTTTGAGATAGTGACATATTTATATATCATTTATCTTGCTACTCTTCTTTTAAATGCGTAATACTTTACAGCTTCCCTTCTAAGTTGGTTCTTAATTTTTACTAATCTTTTCGTTGTTAATTTTCTCAATTAGCTTGTCATTTCAGGATGTTTGGTTACTTGGCAAGAAGGTTGCAAATTTTTTAGCTGGTAAGCATAAACCGATTTACCATCCATTTACCGATTGTGGTGATCATGTTGTGGTTATAAATTGTAAGAATGTTGCAATGCATGGTTTCAATTGGAAAAATCAACGGTTTTTCTTTGATAAAGTGTGTTTCACTTTCAGTTGCTATTGTGCATGGCGTTTTGAACTGATTACGTGGTTAATAGTAACAAATAGTTCATTTACTATTAATCTTAGTTCATTTATAATTAACATCATATTAAAGGTTTAGCCTAAATTCTTGTGGTAATAGTCATCTCTCAGTTTCATCGTTTCGTTTCACTTCATATCCAATTACAACATATCAGTAATTTTTGTTTATGAAGATATCATAATGGATATGAACAGAAATACATGAAATATACTTCAATAGCTACTACTGATGCTGTGTTGGAGACAAATACTTCAAAGTTTTTTTTTGCTTTTTTAGTTGTAAAAAAATTCTAATTATTTTTTCATCAGTATCGTACAGCGAATTTTTTGAATGTTTTTAGGAAATGCCGAAATCAAAGGTTGAATATCCAGCTTGGCAAATTCAGGATTTCGATCCGTGCAGAATAATGCATATGACGGTGTATAAAGGTCTTGATCATAATCAACTCCGTAAACGATTAATCGAAAGATTGCATCTGTTTGCGGATGATCAGATCCCAACTTTTGTGCGAAAAAACATCGGGAATCAGGTAGATGTTTTTTTTCTTTTTTTTCAGTATTTGCATTTTTATAACTTTCAGTGTGGCATATTTTAAAACTGACGAAACTTTGTACCTTCGGTTCCTTGTTTCCCTTCATTAGTCCTTGCATATTTTGTTTTTATCCAGTGATTATCCGAAGTGCTACTAAGATGAGAATCCCTCGTTCATTATTTTAGAATTCGTTTTCGTTCTATTAATTGTTGTTTACAGATGGAGCAAGTGCAGCGTGTTGCGAAACGATCCGATGAATATACAGCGGAAGAAAGAGCGAAATTTCCAAGACTCTTTAAATTTGGGGAGAACCATTTCATTGATTGGGAACGACCAGTAGAAGATCCTGGCCAGTGGACCGGAAAAGATAGATCTCCGTTCAATCCTTATTATCAGAACAAATCATGATGCTCACTGATCAAGAAATATTTTAGAATGGGATAATTGATGCAATGCTAATTTTGAATCATTTTAGATGGTCGGATTTTTCGGACATATCATTCTTTTTCTGGTCCTTAAAGGTGCTGTCAGATGCGTAGCCGATTTAAATGTACTTTTAAAAACAATCGTTGTTATTAAAAGACAGCTTTTAGGAGTATTTTAAGAATGTTAATTTTCGTTAAAAATTGAAATGTTTTAATTTTGTAATGGTTTTAATTCAAATTCAGTATATCCTAAATAGGAAGTCCAATTTTTGCTATCAACAGCGCATGCGATTTTATCCTCAGTCTTGCATACTTTTCGTGACGAGTCGTCCATCCTGAAGTCGTCGTACGATATATAATGTTCCCGATGTACCATCATTTTCACGTTCTAGATATAGCCATGATTCTTCATGATTCAAGTAATATGCACGTGTATTTTTTGTGTTTACAAAATGTAATTCACCACCACCCTGAAATATTATTGCTTACGCTATTTCCAATGATAATTATTTTCTCATTCAAATGTTGCAAGCTATAGTTTAATTAACAAATGAATCCAGTTAATCTTGATGACTGACATATATTTTTTTTTCCAGTATGTCCGCATGTTCTTTTATAGGCATGATGCTATCATTAATTGGTGGGATTACATTGTGGTATTTCTATTCCATTTTTAAATTTAATGACTTTAACTGATATTTCTCTTTTTTTTTTTTTTTTGCAAAAATCATTCGTTGGAACTTCCAAAGTAGCATTATGAAACAGCATTTTCCATTCTAACCTGTAACTGTATAATTTCATCGGTACCTTGACCTGAACCAATTACTTCACTCTGAACAATTTGACGTAATTCTTTCAGGCGTACGGTAGCTTCATTATGCATTCTAATCGCTTGGGCTCTTTTTGCTGATGTCTGCAATTGGATTTTAAGATTGAGCATAAGGAACATAACGAAAATCAAATGAAGTAAGGAAAAAAGTAGAATTGGAAGATTTGTTTAAAGAATTACGAAAATTTGTGATTTTCCTTCCTTTTCAAGTGAAGTTCCAACCTAATATGACAATGTTACGTACAGTTCCTGTCGAAGACATTATTACAAAAGTGGACCACTCGGTACAATATCAGTAAATAAAAATGCACATATTGATAAAATATCTGAAATTTATTTCCAATTAGGACTGAGGTTAACATCGCTCAATTTAAGTCTGAATATTGATTGAATAGAATCATATTCTTTTAAAAAAAAACGGCAAGAATTGCTTAGATCTTTTCTTTTAAATGTTTATTTGTTGTTGTTTCATTGTTGAATTGTGGTATGAAAGTGTAGTATGAATGTTTAATTTAGTATGAATGTCTAATTGTAATATGAAAGTTTTATTTAGCTTTTTTGTTTTTTGGTGCTGGATTTACCAATTCGAGGTGTTGGGTGCGATTTTTATTTGCTTGCCTTAATTTGTTTATGTCTGACAATTGATATTCATTTATTTAAAAAACAATTTTATCAATCGAAATAAAATTTCTTGAATTCTTTGGCATGATTTTATGCTATTCTGCCTGTCACGTGCTCATGTGTTTTTCATTTGATTTTACTTTTTGTTTTATTTTTGTCATCGGGAAATCTTCCATCGAATAATTTTAGCTTTAGTATCTAATGAACAATTTTAAAGTAAATCAGCAAGTGGATTAAAAAGCCGCCTATACAGAGGATCTTACTTCCTTTAAGAAAAGTTTCTCTTTTTTGTGGTGTAGAGCTAAATTACCAATTTTTAATTTGACTATAGCTTATGAAGTTCTCATTATAAGTGTTTATTGTCAGATTCAAATGTAAATGAAATGTTAAGACGACGATTGTTCACGGCATTGGTAAATATGCGACCTTTTCTTAAAGGTAGGAATTTTTTTTTTTGAAATCTAAAATTGATTAATTTTCTACAAGACTTATCATCATGTTGTATCATCACGTATTTCACTTTTAGGAAATATTTTAGCTTTAATAATATCACTACTTATGCTTTCACCTCGACATTTGATTTTCATTTGTTTGTTTTTAGAACGACATCTGAGTTCTGAATTATCAGAAGATGAATATGAAAAATTAGCTAACGAAACGTTGAACAAATTAGCAGATTATCTGGATTCTTTTCCCGACAGATTTAGCTGTGACAGAGATTATGATGTAAACTCGTCTATGGGTGTCGTTACGGCTAAAATAGGTCGAAAGGCAGGTACTTATGTTATCAACAAACAAACACCAAATCGACAAATTTGGTTATCTTCACCTTTGTCCGGTCCAAAACGGTATATTTTTAAAAAGATTTTTAATTGCAAATGAAGGGGACATAGGTTGCATTTTTGTGAACCAAAAACTAAGAGAATATTGAAATAAGTCAAAATTTTATTAAGGCAAATAAATGCAAATAAAAAAATATTGAATTCTCTCTTTCTCTCCTTCTCTCTTTCTTCTACACACACACACACACACACACGCTGATCGATTTCAGAGAGTTGAGATTGCAAAGATTTGCTTAAAGTTAGGAAATGAAAGAGGACATGTTTTGGTATTTTTGTACATTAATTAAATATTATCTTATTAAACTGAAAACAGATATATTACTGAATATCTCATTTCAAAGTAGCTCAGATGACTACAAACAGTTCTTAAATATTGCTGAATGGATTTTTAGGTTTGATCTGGTTGATCAAAAATGGATATGTACACGCGATAATATATCACTGGATATCTTGCTGAATAATGAATTCCGAAAGATTTTTGAAACAGAAAAGATTGATTTTAGTATATGTTTATAATTCCTATCCTGATTAGTTGGATAACGTGTATCTTCTAGTTCCATCCAAAAAGGGTCAGTAGAATGTTCTTATAAGTTACAATTTATTGTATAAGCTAACACTGCTGAAATTTATAGTTTATTTCACCAATAAATGACATTTTGTCTCGAATTTACTGGAAATTCTGTAGATGAGTTTGGTGTGCATTGGACATCATCTGATATTAGCTAAACTGCGACAAAATATTCCGAACGGATTTGAGTAGGGTATTCTGGGATACAAAAGCTTGCTAGAGGATTGATTGTTCAATTATGGACTGAATCAGATATTGTATATCTCTGTATTACATGATAAGTAATAGTCATTTTAATTTTGTTTTATTTTGCTTGAGTAGTAAGAACAGAAAGTAGCAGAATGAAATAGAAGAGAACAAAGCAGTAAATTGTTTCAGGTTTTAAAATCGATGGATAGTTTAAATTTTGAATTAGTAACACAGTAAGCAATAGGATTGAAATTGATTCAGTAATTGCTATTTCTTTCTTCTTTTTGTGCATTCTGTTTTTTTTTTGAATAAAAGAATTTAAATGCATTATTTTTGGTTGTAGAAATTTGAAATTTGAACTAATTTAAGAACAGTATTTCTATATGCTGCTTTAATTAGGCTTATTACTTAACTATTACTTAATTATGGTAGCTCATAAGTGATGGATTAATTACTTCATTACGATAGCTTAGTCGCATAATTTGCTTATCGTTTTACTATAGTAATTTGTAGTGACTTTCTTTACCGCTTGTAGCGCATACTACTTAATTGAGAAAAGTTAATGAACTTGAATTATTCGTTTGTTCAATTGGAGGAGCATGAATTTAGTAATCCATCTTTACTTTAAAAACAACATGACCAATAAGAAGTATCCGTAGTACTTTTATTGCCAGTCCTCAATCTTTTTTTCTTTTTTTTAGACTCAGGGGCGAGTCCTAACAATTTTGAGGATTGCTACGAATTACTCGCCATTTATCCAATCTACATTTCTCCAAATCTAATATTTCAGGTGAAAATAAAATGTTTAAGAAAATTTTCTTTCATGCTTACAATGACCCTGCATAACACGAAACAGTTATTAAGATTTGCCATTGCTAATAGAAATTTTCTCTGGGAAGTCAATGGCAGGAGAAAAAGAATGTCAACGTGGGTTACAAAACAATTCGGTGATAATATGGAGAAAGTTGAAATGTCAATCCCCACTATTGAGAAACCAAATCAGCTTCTTCTTAAAGTTAAGGTTTGTTTAATTTTTGATAAATCCATTTCTTTTTTTCCAAATTAATGATTACACGATAAATTTGTCTCAAAATTTCTGTAAAGTAATGTACAAATTTTCACTTCCTTTTTACTATAGGCAGCTAGCGTAAATCTAATTGACACTGTAATGCGAAAAGGATATGGACGACAATTGTGTTCAGCAGTAAAAAATCTCCGAAATTGTTCAATGGATTCCACAATACTATTACCATTTATTGGTGGACGTGACTGTAGTGGTGTTGTTGAACAGACTGGTGGAAACGTGAAGAAATTCAAAAAATATGATGAAGTACAAGCAAAGTTTTGTTAAAGGTTTTAAAATTATTCTAGTGAAGGATGACAAGGGAAATCATCTAAATTCATCTAATTTATAGTTCTCTTTAATTTCTTTGAATAATCAAACTGTAATAAATGCTGAAGTTTTATTTGTAATTTCGTCATGAATTTGTAAAAATTCACTTTGCTGCAGTAATTTGATGAGAAGATAAATTGAACACCGATGCGCCTTTGATTAACTGTACTTCTAAGTCATTTTGCTTCTGATGTTATCAATTTTGTTTTAGGTAATTGCTGTTGTTGATCCATTCAGTTCAGGAACACATGCAGAATTTGTAGTGGTAAACGAATCAAATTGTGTCTTAAAGCCGACTAACATATCGTATATTGATGGTGCCGCATTCCCATACACAGCTTGTACCGCTTGGTCAGCACTAGTTTCGGTAATGAGAGAGATGTTTTAAGGAAGTTTAAGTGCTTCCGAATTTGAGAAGAAATCATTTTTTCATGAATTTTAGGTAGCTCGAATTAATCCATACAATGCTGCATCACAACGTGTATTGATACACGGTGGTGCTGGTGGTATAGGAACAACAGCAATACAAATGCTTAAAGCGTGGAATATTAGCAAGGTGGTAGTAACATGTTCGAATGACTGGTAAGTTAACTTATCGTAATTTTTAGATTTTAAAAACTTTTTATTAGTAAACAAAGAAATATATGAAACGAAAAGCAACATGTAGGAAGACTTCGTCAACTAATGTCGATTTCTCATAAGGAAATTTTCCGGTGTACGACTCTCAAATCACTTTATTTAATCTGCTGGGTAACTTTAATAAAGGATTATTTTAAGTTTAAAATGAAACCTTATCATTTTTACTGAAACTTTATCATAAATTTATACTGCCTTATCTTTACTGATAACCCGGCTCATCTCGAAAAAGAATCAGAGCAAGATTTTGTAGTAATTGTTAAATTTAGTAGTTGAAATGGTTTATAAATATTCCAACATATAAATTCATTTTGAAATTTCTAAAGTTTTAGAGAATTAGTTCCGTTAAGATGAAAAAGAAATTGCGCAAATTAGTTTCACAAAATTCTGACTTATGTTCGGAACTTTCTTTATGTTCTTTCTTTGCTCTATTGTTTGTATTTTTTTTTTATTTCCATGTTGTTTTAGTTTTAATATGATACAAGAACTTGGAGCGATACCGATAGATTACAAGAGTCCAAGGGTTTTGGAAAAGTTAATCAGTGAAGGACCATTTGATGTAGTGTTGGATTGTGTTCAATCGGAATTAGCAGGATGGAGCAGTAAAGTAATGGGATTATGGCGCAATAGTGTACATGTTTCTCTTTTGAGCCCACTTCTCAGTGACACTGATAGGTATAATAATTAACAAATTAACAAAACAAAAATTCAAAAAAGGTTTATTTTAAATGAAAAAAAAAAAAAACTTATTTTAATTTCGTTACAGCTTATACTGAAAGCAACGTCAATTTAAAATACATGGAGTAGCTTCAGCAAAAATTACATCACTTTGCCTCTGTTGGCACTATAGTTGAATTTTAGCTTATTTATTTATCTGTGGCATAGGAATCCAAATTTATTTCCTCATCTTATCTTTTGACTTCTTCAAGTATTACCCAATAATTCGGTTAGTATCCGTCTTGGTGATATCACTAACATTGAGCGGAGCCTTATCGTGGACTTTCCAAAATACAAAAATGTTAACCATCAGGCCTTTACGTTTTAATCTCGCAGATTGTCATGGAAGAAAGCATGTAATCTGTTGGTTTTTGGTTCTTTCTCATTCCTTTTTGTTTGTTGATCAAGTTTTTTTCAGATATGGAATACCATTTGGAATTGCTTCAGCTGCTGTAAAGTATTTCCTGAGAGTAACACTGGTTTGTCTTGCTTATAACATTATTCACTTTCTTTTCTATTTTAATAGAATGAAAGTTTCTTTGCGTGCATATGATTTTTTTTTTGCCATACAAAAGCATGTATGTGCTTGTTAATAAACTATTTGTAAGCTTAGCAAGTCCTTGTGCCATGATGTTCATACTTCTTGTGATAAAATTATATATTAGAATTTCAGTTGGACCTACTTCTATATTAAGATGTGAAATTTGAGAATCTCATGCCAATATTTCCGATTCCCAGATATATTTCTATCTTCTCCTGGACCACTTTTTCTCATTGTTTCAAATTTTCTTGTAAACCTCATTTTAGCCAACAATTCGACGTGGACAGTGGTATTCGTATGCATTTTTTGCCCCATATCCGGAATGTATGCAGCAGATTTCGGAATTTCTAAAGGACGGCAAGGTTAACAATGGTCGAATAAGAAAGATTTTCTTAACAATGGTCGAAAAAAAAAAATAAAACAAGATTAACAATCATTGTTTTCATTTTGAAAATTTAATCATATTTGAAAATATTTGATCTTTCAGTTTTGTTTCCTTCAAAATTTGTTCTTGAAATTTCAGATGAAACCAGTGATTGATCAAATTTTTGAATATGATGAACTCCCGATAGCTTACGAGAAAGTACTGAAGAAAAAAGGAAGAGGCAAAACGATTATCAATTTGAGTGAAAGCTAGCCGTTGTCCATATCCATCGAAGAATTCCCTTTTTGTTTATGTTTAACTTATAAATAATTTCTGTTATAAAACGCTGATATAAATTAAAATAACTCAAATTATAAAATAGCTTATTCAGTCATTTAGATACCGTTAGCCGGAAATTAATACACCTTTAATAACAGTTTATAATAGTTATGCTTCAAGAGGTTTTTCTTTGATAGATTAAAGAATAACGAAATCAGCAGAAATGGGATTGGTCAACAAGTAAAATACAGAAATCAGTTTTGCAGTTGTTTTTTGAAGTTCTGGGAAACCATGAACTTTGGAAAACCTACTAATTACCGACTAACGTAAAACATCAGCCTGAAAGTTAAAAATTTTAAAAAGGTTCAAAGACCTTAATTTGAACTGAACCAAGATTAAATACAGTGGTGCTCAAGTTTACTTAGGTACTTTTAATTAAGATGTATCAGAAAAATACTCTAGGTTCCCAAACTTGGAATACAAATTTTTAAAGTTTTAACCGAAAGACTGCACTATTATGGAATTAAGCAGACACGAATATATGTAGACTTTTATGAATATATGATATCGCTAAAACATTCATTAAAAAATGATTAGAATTGAAGAGATTTATTACGTCTGCAGTACGAAAACAAGCTGGTAGATGGCGTAAAAGATAACGGAAAAAAACGATCAGGAATTTAAATTCATGAAAAAGTACTATTTTTGAAAAATAGGGTTTGAAAAACGGTTATAAGAGGAAACAGGCGAAGGGATTAGAAGTGAATACAAAAACAGGTCTGTCGAGAACTAGTATGGATTTGTCAAAGTAATTTTTTTTTGATTGAAATTTGAAGTTGAGAACAATTTGTTAAGAATCGTGTTGTGATATCTCTATCTGCTAACGCCACAAGTATTAATCTATACCAACAATACATTGGTAATTTCGTAGTACTTCAAGATTTACAAGTATGAATTGATAAAGGGGAAGATAAATTGGTAGGGAATTCAGGATATAAATGAGCCGAATAACATTGTTGATACTAAAAAACCGACTCAGATAAGGGGTTTAGGTTATTACATAGCAGATATTGACTTGCAACAAGCGCATTAATGTGAACTAAGAGCTGTTGTCGCACGAGCGCGTTAACGTGAGGAAGAACTATTCTTACTCTTTATGTACTGATAGCTAGGCTTCAACAAAAAGTTATATAGATTTGATTCAGAACAAAGAAAATAAATAAACATATAAAATATACATATTCCTTATTAACAGTGTAACATTCCAGCTACAGTTGGGAAATGAGTTACTACTTATATGAAGTACAAATTTGAAACAGTTTATTTCCATTAGTGTACGGTTTTCTCGACATCATATGTTATTTGTATTCAAAAAAAAAAAAGGTTAATTGTTGCAAAAGATACAACAGCCAGAACGTATTACATCAAAGCAATATGTTTGCTACCAACGCCATTTAAAAAGAGAATGAAAAAGTACCGAAAAAAAACCTACCTTTGCTTAACTTACCGGATAAGTCGTACAAGATGCTATGCTTTCAACTTATATATTTTTAATTTGAGATTACTTTTAATTTGAGAAAAATGCATATGAATATATTACGTTAAAAGTATGATATCTTTCTTGTCCGTTATGAAACTATTTAATATTTGAATTGAAATAGCTTTCTGATATTTCAAATGTTTTAGATATATTTTGAAATTTTATGCATTATTATTATTGATGCGGTGATTATAATGAAAGTGGCACAGTAAAACTACTTACAATTAAAATTACCCACAGCCTACAGGTTTGGAATCAGTCATTCGATAAACACCAAAATGATAATTAAACGATATTCTCGCCTATTAGCCTAGAAGAACTAACTTTTGAAACTTAGGAAAAATGCTTCGGATTTAAGTCTTTTTCAACACGAATGAAGCTGTTCACTGGGGGAGAAATCCCTAAATAATCGATTCCTTGAAAATTAGAAATAACAAAAATCGTAACTGATACCGCTACCAAATGTGGCTGTGATCTATTAAGTCGAAGACTATCTTCATCGAACTTTTCGTAATTAATAACACCGATTATTGGATCATTTTCCCAATATTTCTATCGGAAAGTATAGCTTTTTCGGTAGAGCTTCTAATCATTTTTCGGACATAAGGAAAAACACTTCGAAACCTACGAAAAAGGAGGCAGGAGGGAAAATCGCGGTATGTGTCGACTTTTCAGTACCATCTTGTATTCCTACCTAATATTCAATTAACTGGCTTATATTAATAACAGCATTAATTAAACACTTAGGTGTAAAAAAATCTAGCTACTAAGCTTCAAAGAAGAAAGATTACTAGAAGACTTTTACTAGCCTCTTCATGTAATATATTTCTATCGGAAAGTATAGCTTTTTCAGACTTAGCTGACATTAAAACATAAGATGTATGTGTGCATCAAAATCGAAAGAACTTGATTAGTATAATAGATAGCACAGGCGGAGACACAGTTTCTTCTACGTTTATTTAATTTAACTAAGCGAATGAAACGAATTCTGGAATCGCTATAAGCATCAAATTTTCCTGAATAGATAATTTAACAACATAAGAAAATTCTATTCCTTTCGGAAATGAGCAATTACAGCAAATCTACCATTATTAAACAACAGGGATAGCTAAGAGAAACTAAAAAAATGTTGCAAATCATTCCAATATCCGAACTACAATAATGAGCGGATCCGGACAAGAGGAACTCACAAGTAACTAAGCATACTTTCAATTTATGTAATTAATTTCGAAAATGGAAGCTTTAACTGCAGCGTTTAATCGAATTTGAATAGAAGTAAATGAAGATGGGAAATTTTGTAAATAAAGATAAGCGATAATATTTTGAAGCCCTTAACTACTTAGTAAACTTAATTCATAAATGAAATGATAGCATGAAGTAACGAATTTCACTTTTTTTCTTTTTTCTTCTTTCTTTTATTCTAAAATCAATAATAAGATGAAATAATTGTTCTCAACTGTGTTCATATGGTAGAAATTGAATAAATCAGAATTTTGGAACCAACGATACGCAACAGTTTAGTAAAATTCAATTAATACCTCGTTTCACAAAAACATTAAAAAAATTTAAAGTTGTGATAATTGAAAAACACCTGTCATATATCAGAACACCGGTTACAAATTGCAAAAGACTCTACATGAGTGAAATTATGATTAAAACTTGAAAATATACCACGTTAGGTTAAAGTTGTGAAACATCTGATAGATTCGAAACCCATACAAAAAGTAAAGTTACATTAAGAAGAGAAAATAACCTGTGCTGTTAAAAAGTAATCACAATCAGGAAAACAAAAGATGAGAAAACTTCCTTATATGGAAAGTTGATATTAATAAGTAAACTATAGAGCTTTACTATGATGAGATAGTAAACGGTAAAACGCAAATCTTTAGACGTCCAATTGCACTTTCGTTTTCATATCATCATCCAAATATTTTGCTATAGCAGGACGTAATTCCTCATTCAAAAAATGAATGGTTTGAGAAGATGAACGTCCTGTGAAGCATAGAGGTGATTTTGCCAATTGTAGTATTCGATCACGAACCTGAAAGTAGAAGTTTTTATCTACATCAGTTTCCCTACTTTTCGTCTTTGAATGGTACTGAAGTGAAGATTCACCATAACCACTACAGATTCAGTTTTTCTTTGTCACCAATCTGTCATATTGATTATTACAATAACAAAAGAAGATCAGAAAGGAGACAAAATCCAAAAAGCACTAGTATCTACTTCATATGCTGCTAGAGATGCAAAAGAAGTTTTAAAACAAAAAGAAATTTGCCTTGTCCAGCTTAATATAATTTTCTATCGATACCTTTTTTTAAATTTCGTCTTAAAATCAATGCAAATTAATGCTATAATAAGACCAAGGGAGAGAAAGTGACTAAACATAAGAAGATACATCGTCTTACAATCTTTGGCACCGAACGTTGGGGTTAATCATGACACTTGCTGAATATTAAAAACTTGAGAATATTTTGATACCTTATCAAAAAAGACATTAGCCAGTATGCTTTCCAAATCAACCCGCTCCCGCTTCTGTGTCTCTTTCGCGGCCAGCGTTACTTCCCGAATTTTCTCATACGCATCCTGTCGATCAGCGCCTTCCTCTGTCAGCAACATCATTGCCTTTTCCAGTGCCAAAAATGGCAAATCAGCATGAACATTGTATTCAATTCTTTCTTTATCCACGGTCAACCCCTCCACAATGTGCTGCAAAGAAAAATTCGATGATTTCCAACTTATATGTAATTTACTTCCATAGTTTTTCAGCGCAGAACTTTATGCATTTTTATCTCCTTTGAGAATTTTTTCAAAAAATAAAAAAAAAAAAAGCCTAACAACAGTGAAGTTGAAAATATAAGAAATTATGCTTATTTACTTGAAATATTGTGAGAATAGCATCAGCAAGTAGAAACATATCTGGGATTAATATCCGACGAATAGCGGAGTCATCAAGGGTTCTTTCAAGACTTTGATCACCAAGTGTATTCAAGGCATCCTGTAGCAGAAAAAGAAATTAGATAAAATCAGCAGAAAAATGGCCAAGCGAAACTGACACAATTTCGGATTTACGATTACTAACGATTATTAAAGTATTATACGGTCAAACTTATCGTGCTGTATTAAAAAGATCCATACTGAAAGTTTCGGTCATTGCAAGACCGAATTTTATCATAGTGTAATGTTAAGTGTATTCAAATTCAAAAAAAAAAAAAAAAGATTTCAAAACCGCCTAACGGGCATTTCGTAACTCATTGTTTGAAAACCTTTCACTGATGCTGATTCATCCTCTTACCGGCAAATGAACGAATAAAATTTACACACCTGAGGTGCACTCATCAGCTTTCGAGCCAGACTACTAACACGCTCACTTTTTATTGGATTACGTTTATAAGGCATTGCTGAACTGCCAACCTGCTCACTTTCAAATGGCTCAAATACTTCACCAAAAGCCTAAAATCATTTCTAATTTTATAATTATGAAACTAAAAAATAGTACCACTTCAACAGTTAAACTAATAAATTTTGCACTGCTTATTTTCAATCTCAAAAAGATCAACAAATCCTAAATAGAACGACTGATTAAAATCTACTAACAGGGAAAACACACCTGCAAAATTCGTATATCTGTGCAAATTTTCTTCGTTGCAGCACCCAAAAGTGCAAAAATATTGACAAGGTCACAATCCTAGAATGACTGATTAGTTCTATAATTAATATTTGTTGACGATTTGATGTAAACAATGAGACTTTATATTCCACTGTTTATGTACCCACTTTAACACTTCCTTACAGGAAAAAATGAACTGCTAATTAAAGACATCAGTCATTAAAAAGAACAGAGAATGCATAAACTAATTTAATTATTCTAATTACTATACTACCAGAATCTGATATCAAATATTATTCTTCAAGCAAATTAAATTGACAAAAAATTTTTAACAAAAGTACCTGCTGTCGAGAATATGTCTGCCCACTGATGTAGAAGCGAGAAGCAAAACCAGCACTTTTCATTATTAATTCGTCAAGTTTATCTACCTAAAAAATTATTTTCTACAAACCAAGAGGAAATAAGACAGCAGTAATAACAGAACAAAAACTAGTTTAAAAATAACTATTTTCCTCTTTCACACAATTTCTCAAAACTTATAAAGACATTTACGTTTACAAAAACCAATAATTCCTAAGCCTAAAGCGGCACGTTTATAACGTTATAATGATGCTGTTTGGTATGGTGGTGTAACCATCCAATACTAAAGATATCGTCTCAAGTTTCAAATTTAGCTAGTAGACGACATTCGCTAACACATAGACAACCAACAACCACTCATTTGCAGATCTTATTACAGAAGTAAAGCTTGAATAACAGCTGGAAACTTCCATTCAAAACCGGTAATTAAAAATACAGTTACCTTTGCTTCATCGTTATGAAATAGTGCCATGAATGAATCTTGCGTACCCGTTGCACCTTTTACTCCTCGAAATCGCATATTTTCTCGGAAATGTTCCAGCTGTAATTAATCACAAATAAATTAAAGTTATTTACAACTAATAAGTATTACGGAAAAATATGAAAAAAAAAAAAAAAAAAACGGTAGTGTATGATAAAGATAATTTACACTTGACATTTATAAATTATTTAAAAAATCAAGCACAAATGTAGCTATACTCCTATCATTATTATATATGATCTACATATGAATGTATGCGTGTATGTGTGTCCTGAAAGATATTCTCAATCAATTAAATTTTAAATTATTTCTATAGGAATATAAATATCAAAGTCAGTTTAGAAGCTAGAAATGTTACAAGGCGAATGTTTTTCTATTCGACCTTAGCTTATAATGAACAAAGAAAGCCTGCTGTTTTAAGAGACATAATGATAATAGAGAAACAATAGAATTAATAGCATTATTTAATTTACTTTCGTAAAAACCATCAACAATTCCTGAGCCCACATTGCGGCACGTTTACCAACAGTAACTAATGATGCAGTTTGGTAATGCGTCCGTCCAACGGTAACGATATCCTTCGTTTTCTCGGCGAAATCATCCATTCTGCTGAGACACACCGCAAGTCTATAAATTCCACTATTTTCAACAAATTTTGACGGTGAACCAAATACTTCATAACGCGTCTGTATAACATAATCAACTTGTCAAAATAAAGGACAGAATAAAATCAAAAGGGCATCAATTCAGGCATATGAATAAGGCATATTCGAGGCACTTTAAGCAAGTAAAACTCGAGATATCAAAATATTTTAAGTTAAACTAAAATTCCGAGGAACATATACTTCTTCAATATATAATCGGTAGCTTGCCGCTGAACAATTAAATCGGCATTATCTTGAACGAAGCATGATGTTGCACCCAAATGTATTATTCCTTTTGCTTTTGGACACATCTGAAAGAAAAAAAGCCTTCTGCGGTTGCAAATAATCTTAAAATCATGTTACTTAACATAATATAATGTAATAGCATGCGTTCTGGACATATTTTACATGATTTTTGTTAAAATAAGTCAGATAAAGAACAACTTTTACCTTCCCAAATGCATAAGTATGGGCCATGACATCATGCTTGATACGTTTCTCCTCTCGTCTAATTGTACCCCAGTCAATCACTTCCTTTGATTTCTTCATCTCTTCAATAGCCTCTTCAGTAACCTATAATCAACAGATGAACAAATTTTCGGGAAATACTGATTCCTGATTATACTAAGAATACCATAGCAGTCAAGCATATCACAACAATTACTTCTTTAACTATTCATTTATCACTTATCACCCATGTGATCCTATATATATATATATATATATATATATATATAAACTTGAAAACTTTACATCATCATTCATTATATAATAAAATCGTTCCTTTAGAGAAAATTTAAACAACCAAACCCATAAATTATTTGACGTAAATCAGTGATCCATGCCAAAAAAAAAAAAAAAAAAAACCTGTTTTAAACCGAGTTGCATCTCTCCTTCTGCAAGCCAAATCCACATTTGTCGCCATATCAGAACCTTAAGATAAACTAGACATCCTTAACCTGAGACTATGTTAAAAAAATTTTTATGTTAAAAATAATGTTAGAACGACGGAAAATGTCGAAAACTAGTGACTGTCTCCTTCAAAATACCTATTTAAAAAAACGAAATTGAATTTATCGAATTTAATTTAATTAGAGAGGACTAATAATTATGAAAGAGCATAAAATTAACTTATTCAAATTAGCTTTTTTCAAAATTACTGTTTCTTTTTCTAAACTTACCCTGTTTCTTTCGCTCAATATATTCATCAACGGACTCTTGCCACAATACCGTGACTTAAGCACCGTTTCAAATTTATCTTCACTGTTAATATGAGAGATCATCGTTATTAATTCCTGAGGAATCTCCAAATCTTTAATCAATTCTTTCTTTTTTTTAAAAAAAAAAAAACTATGGAATGAACTGATAACAATATTCGAGCGATCCAATAAAAAAAAAATTTAAAAGTACGAATAATAATACCACCATGTTTATGACCTACAATAAACATTTAAATGACCAAATTTTGGGGATCTCCCCAACACTTCAAAAAACAAAAAAGACCAATGAGAATGTCACAGATGTCAGGTGTCACATGTCTGAGGCATCTTCTGGCCTAATAAAATTTCAGTGGGCACAGCGACGAATTGCAAACAGCCGTTGAATTTTGAATCTGAAAAGTCATTTCATTTACACTGTCGCGTATTGTCGTGATATTTCCCTGTAACGTTTTCCACGTAGCACGCATAATGAGGTCTTATTAACTGTTATTATTAATATTAATATTAACATTATTATCATCGGTTATTATCACTATTTGCTGATTGTGAACATTTGTGACTAATTTGATCGTTAACAATGATTTGTATGTGACTGGTTAGCAACCATTATTATGTTTTTTCAAATAATATGGAAATTGCAGTTAATTTTCCTTGTAGTTATGGTTGCGACCAACAAAGAGCGAGAAGAAACGATAACAGTGAGGACGAAGGAAGAAAAGAAGAATAAGGGAAAGAAAATCCGGAAAGTGAAAATTTCCGGAAAAATACCAACAAAAGTGAAGAATGTAGTTCCATCAACGAGTTCCAGCACAAATGACAAAGTGCCGGTTTTATGCAACACCTATTATAACTCTTTGCAAAGTTAGCTTCATTTTTGAAGAAAGTCAAAAGTTACGATTGAACATGCAGTATTCGAACAATTCTTCTATACCATGGGTATTCCTAATAAAAAGTAACTTAAACTCTAAAATCGGGCAAAATTTTGTACAAGATTAAATAAGGCTTGTCATTTATTCGTTACCAAAAAATGGAAGAAATGAAGTGAAAGTAAGTGAGGGAAGAAGTGTGAATTATCTACCAGATAAAGCTATTGGAATGTTTAAATAATTAAGAACTTCTAAAATCAAAAACATCTCAGAACTTATTATTATTGATCATATTAAATATACCGTAATTAATTTACGGTAGCATTAATTACCAAAATACTGTTTGATAATTTTTGATATTTCCGTCTGACATTCTTCTATTTTGTTTTGTACCCGTAGTTAGAAAAAAAGTAGATTTCCCTGTTGTCTTTTAAGTAATTTGTACTTTATTTCACATTCCACCAAGGTATGTTTTTTGATTTTAGAAGTTTTATAAAATTCTTTTTGTTTTTTCTCTATATTGAGTATTTAAAAAAAAAGTTGAAAAGAAAGTACCTGAGCGTTCAAGTGGTTTTTTGGGCAATCTGGCATTCACTGCCTTCCTACAACTACTTTTTCAAACTTTCTAATATTGTTCAGTAACTCCGGTCGACGATAATCTTCATCTCGATAAAATAAAGATTGGTCAAACTTCTCAGCAAAGCATTTATCTATATATAATATATATTATATAAGTTTATGCTTTGTCTGTTTTATTGAAATTAGTAATTAGGCATTCGCTGATAACGGATACAATAGACTGTACTTTTTATAGCGTTGCGCTATGGAATCAATGAAAAATTCAATTCAGAAAGGCATCTGTTTTTAAAGAAAGATCCTACAAACCAGTTTTCATTAATTATTACCAATATACCTCCATATATCACTCCGGTAAGTGTAAAAATTTTCCAAAAGATGAAAAAGAGCTCCAAAAGATGCTGAAAATTTTTGTTCTTAAATAGAATTGAAAAAGTTGACAATGAGAAAAGATTTTCCAAAAAATAATGGAACTGTAGATTGCATTAGGACGAATTTTGGCTGAACTCGGTTCTGGTAGACCGGAAGAAATAATTGCACAACGTGGTACAGCGGCCAGTGATAAGATTACGGAGGTATTCTTTCTTTTCCTGCTGTGTATTTTATCCTTTTATAATTTTTATTACTAATTTTCCTACTGTATACTTTATGTATTTTTATTGTTCAGGGTTTTTACACGGCATCTGCTCGTTTGAAAACGGAAACTGCTGTTGAACAAGCGCTACAGAATTGTGATAATATTCCATTCCTTTCTTTAAGCAATATCGATATTAAACTGACACAAAATGGAGCAACAAGTAATTTTAATTCGCGAAATTTCATAGCACTTTTTTTGTTGCCCACCAACTTCATATTATTTCACTTTTGTTCACAAATCTATTATGCAATGTCAACGATTATTTATTGTTTAATGCCAATTATCGTCGATGAAGGATGACAGGTTTAAATTCATATTTCATTGTTATTATTTGTTTGTAGAATCGTGCGATGAATATCACAATTCCTTCCGAACAATGGCACAATTACAGGAAAGTGTGAATTCGTACATTGAAAAGCATGACACCAAGATTCTGGAAGTATGTCATATATACAAAATTGAGCATTTATGTAACGTAATTTTCTAATGCATTCAGGTTTTTTTTAATTTTTCATATGTAAGTATTATGTTAAGAAATGTCCATCTCATTTGTAACGTTTCAGGAAAAACGGAAAGCGAAGAAGATGGCTAATGTTCCAGATGAGGATGGATGGATAACTGTTACAAAATCACGTATGTTACTTGTACATTTTGTTGAGATTCCAGGATTTATTTTACCAAAATTCGATTACTGAAATCTAGTTTAAATAGCTTAGTAAGTCTACTAAAATGATTTTTAGATTACAAGCCTGTACCGAGCGCTATTGTTGTGAAGAACAAGGAGGATTTGCTTAAATTGTCAAAGAAGAAAAAGCGCGTGGTTCGTTTAATGTTTTGTTGGAAAATTTGTCAATTTCTGATAAGGATAGCAATTCAGTATTGTTCTGTACGTCAGTCTGAATTGGTGAGTAGGGGAAATTTTTGATTAAATCAGTCTTATGGTAACCTTTGTTATCCTAGATGAATAAGTTGAAGTTTCAGGAAGAAAGCATCGCTTTCTATTCATTCCAATTGAAACAGTCAAAATTGAGACGTAAGTCTTTCCTTTTTCTGTTATAAATTTTCGCTTTTTTAAACAGTGCAGAAAACATCAGTTATTCCATCTCATTTTTCTAGCAGAAGCTACAAGAAGGAAAAAAGAGGACTCTGAAAATTAGGATATCAGTTTTAAGCTAAATTTTACAAAAGTGAAGGGGATGTGATTTGAAATAACATTTCATTTTAGAAAATTGGGTACTTAATTCTCCACATTTCTTTTAGATCTTGAAGAATTGAGAAGAAAATTTGCTGAAGACAAGAAAAAGCTGGCAATTGCAAAAGCGGCAAGGAAATTCCGCCCATTGTGAAGTTTCCAGTTCTCAGTAATTCTTTTTTTGCTAACAAAATTTCAATTTCATATAACTGCTGACCGACATAGTTCGAGACAACAGTTTGAAAAATACCACGACTTACAGTGGAGAATAAACGTTATAATTAAAATTATGCACAACTCTCATACAAATAAATGTTCTCGAACGTGTAAAAAAGTAACGTCAAAAATTATGATTGCAGCGATGGTAATAGTAACTCTCATCTACTTTAAGGGAGTAATTCTAATCCTAATCAAGCGAAATTCTCTTAACATGTAAACGTATCTTCTCTGCATACAGGTGCAGTGTTATTAATGCTTAAGTTGCTATCTGACGGTAAAATACTCGTAATGTGATCATAAATGGTGAATTCAATATGCATGAATCGCCACGAATGATATGTACATGTATATCCATGCTGCAATGAACGGATAGAACAGTATTAATGATCGAATGCATGTTAAATTCTTCAGAAAAGATCACATATGAATTAAATCACTGAGAAAGAAATAATAAATAAAGCCAATATGCATTATATTATATGGTTGTAAATGGAGTATAAATAGAAACATCGCATTTATCGAGCAAATTAATCCAGTAACTTTTTCTTATTTTTACTATTTTTGTCTTTAAGTAAAACCAAATTATTTGCTTTGATGATGAGGCGTAAGAAAGTTAGAAAAGAAGTTCTTATCAACTTTGTAAAATTTAACAGCAGTGAAAAAGATCTCCATAGCTGCTTTATTAATACCTAATATTGAAAAGAGGAACATTTTTGTTACATGACAAAAAAACAGCCAACTAGTTAAAAAAAAAAAAATATAAACGGCGACCCTCTTTTGCCAAATCTTTGCTCAATATAACAATAATAGCAGGATCAATTTCTTGAAAAAATCTCGGGACTAAAGTATAAACTCGAATTGAGCAAATGTTAAAGGTGTGAAATTAAAGCTAAGACGTATAAAAAACCAATAAAAATGTTGACAGTTTCCCTTTTGAGTTGATGTATACATCTGACGATTGAAGTAGATGTGGGTATTAAATTTTCTTGAAACCATAAAATGTGGAGGAAATGGATTAAAAACAGTTAAGGGTGTAAAAACAATTTTTTTTTTACGTAGATCATCATAAAAATAGAGGATGTCAATGGATAACAAAAAAAAAAAAAAAAATGCTGAATAATACAACAAGCAAGAAAACGATTTATTGGATGAAATTTGAGCCTAAGCAGAAAACACAGGTTAACACTAATTTATTTCTCGGCAATTTTGCATATTTCTCTAAAAAGAATCTGCTTACTTGTTCAACCCTTATTTGACATTTTTTAATGTGAAATCTTTACCAATCAATCGTTCTTAAAATTTTATCACTCGCATCGGATTTTCAGATGGATTAAATGACCACACCACAAAGTTGAATTAATCAATTCTAATTGGTTCCTTAGTTTCGAAAGCAAAGCTTAGATGAAAAATCCGAATTATGAACAAGCAGTAGGAAACTTCAACCCAACAATTTTGTTCGATAGTAGCTTAGAAAAAAGTTTCTAAATTTCCCTGCTCTGATTTTTGGAAAAGGAAACTAATGTTTTTATGCTTTAAACACATATCCATACATACAGGCTTATATATATTGAAAAGCTATACGTCTGAACATGTTACATCAAATCCAATACTAATTAATCAAATTGAAACCAATTATAGCTTTCTAGTAAAATTTTATTCCCTGCACGGACATATAAAAATAGCCCACAGCTCTTCCTCTTCAATAAATTTTGTGTTCAATTCATAAAGCACTGAATAAAATAACAAAAACATCCAAAGGGGATTTAAAAAAGGAAAGAATTTTGTAAAAAACCAAGGAGATGAGATTCCAATCATATAAAAGATCTGCACAGATGCACATATACATACATAAATATATATATATACACACACACATACACATACACATACACATAGACATACACGGACATACATACATACACACACACACACACACACAATTATCTTACGAATTGTGTCGGTTTTCATTTTTTCCATCTGAAAATTACGCTTCCTTTTCAATTGAAGATATGAAAGAGAAAATATGGATGAGTAATGAAAAAGAAAAACATTCCGTATTAGTCATAACCTGGATGCTCAGGACAACAATTCTTGCGTGTAAACCATTCATCGATACAGCTGAAAGAAAAATGGTACTAATCATCATTTAAAAAAAGACAAAAAAGAAATCGAACAGATGTAAACATGGAACTAAGCCAATTGTAGAAAAAAAAATGTAAAAAATGATCTTATTATCAAGAGCAGAAACCATCTTCCGATAATTTTAGGGCAGATTGCTAATTAACCCCATCCTCCACCTCCCTCCTCTCCCCCAGAAAAAAAAAAAAAAAAAACGGATCGTAAGCTGCTTATTCATTCATAATTTTGATTTCAAAAAATAAAAAACATTAACTAAACAATACCTACAGCTTAGAGACACTAACAACAGTTAATAATAAAAGAAAAGAATAAACGCAAATAGTAATATGAAATAATTTCGGACGTTATCGCTTCATTTTAAAACGAGTGAACCATAACACTACGAAATTGGGTAAAATGCTTTATAAAGTTAATGGATCGAATGTCACTACTATATCATATCATTATTATCTTTTCGACATCTTGATATCGTCATTACCACTAATGGTAATAGGTTAATTGTGTTTTTAGCAGCTTCCAACAGCGAAACAACTGCTTAGTTAGGATGGTTAATTTCAAATAAAAAGAATAAATATATTACCTTTTATGATAGATACATAAACATGGGAGACGCGCAATTCGATCACCACTGGACATTTCTTCGAGACATATCGAACATTCTCCCTTGTCCTCTCTTAATTCATCTTCTGGAGTTCAAAAACGAATTACTTTTGTCACCGTATGAAACGTAAAATATTAAAATTTCTCACTTAATCGATGAAAGACTGATACTTTAAAATAAAATGCAAAACTGTTAAATTTGGAAAGATTTATAGCATCAAATCAGACCTATCTACCAAAGAAACCAAACTGGTAAACAAGTACAAACCATTGTATGTTATTTTAGGGCGTGTTAAACACATAACTAAATGAATTTCAGCTTCATCGGATGGTACCGTTTTCTTGCAAATCGGGCACTTGATATCCTGCGATAAACCTGCAAGAACATTACAATATTTTATAAGTTTTGCAATGACAAAGTCACTTAATCCTCAAGTCTCAGAAATCCTTAAGTTTCATTTGTTATGACATATAAATCCATTATCAATAATGCTAAATATATGACAAATTGTAAGTAGATATTTTGTTGCAAGGTTTCTAAAACCAAGTTGCACATGCTAATGTAGCTGAAATCTGCAAATATTTTCGTTTTTCTATTTAAATGATTAAGAAAGAAAGAGAGAGAAATGAAGAATAAATCCCACAGAAATCAATTAAATCAATGGATTTTTAAATTAAACTTTTAGTTCCTCAAAAAGAATAGAACTCTCAAAACGTATAGTGAAAAAAAAAAATCTTTTTTTTTAAAAAAACTACCAAATAATGACTCCATTTTCAAAAACAGTGCGCTATCACGTATGATAATTCTTTTGAACAGTTTTTCAATTCACTTCATACTTCTTTAAAATTGCTTATTTCTTTATCGATTATGACATCAATTAGTTTAAGCTTTACTTTAATCATCAAATGAACTAAAGTAGTGATTTTTAGTCTCCAGGAATATGTCTAAAAAAGATGAAAATATTCAAATTTTTTGACCTGCAGCATAAACACTGAAATTAAGTGATAAATGCAGCTTCGCTTCTAGGCATCTCACTTCATCATTACTTTTAATCGCCCATTTAACATCAAAATTTTACCCTATCAATTAATATCTTTCCTTTTCGTGCTATGTATAAGATATATTATGAATACTTTATTTATTTCACGTTAAAGATATTAACGCCATTTACGACGCTTAATATTTAAGACAAAAGTCATCAGGAACAGAAAACAGTAAAATAGTTCAGCTCATAATCAGCAATAGAATTTAATGAAAACAACCTATAATTTTTTTTATCACATCCAAGTAAAAGGTTAGTTATACCAACACTAACGGATGAAGCATTCAGTAGTACCAGTAAAAGGAAACAAAATTGCGGTAAGCCATTATTCTATAATTACACTCCATTTGCCCCCTCATTAATAAGCATAATAGCTATCCTTCCTTCTTTTCAAATAATAAATTCAAACTCATATATTGAACTTCCATACTTGGATAATAGGAAAACGGAAAATCTTCACTCTTCCAGCCTCTGTTGCTCTCTTGTTCTTCCTTATATAAGTTTAAATGTCAGTTGACAAAATGAAAAAAGAATATAATCTGTATTCTGACAGACATAGAAAGAAGTGTTGAAACTTACGACTCAAAAATTGCAGCACCGGCATCGACCGGCGTGTTGGAGCATCACGTAAGCCTCTATGTGTTCGTAAATGTGAAACAGAGAATCTGAAATTTTTTAATTTTTACTAACATTTTACAGATGATTGGAAAGGAATAATTTCTTTAATTCGAAAAATTCTTAGTTATGGGATCCATTTATCTTTCATAAGTTAATTTCAAGGTTCACGGATGAACAGCAATTGTGAAAATGACAAACTTATAAAGTAATAGATTCGATACTATAAAGAATAATTCTAATTATTAAAAATAGAAAGTGCATATAAAAAAAACTGTAGCCATCGGTTTTTCTCCCAGACAAATCCCCACATATAAAATCAAGAAACCACCAACCCTACTGGTCGTGTATCAACCGAAGACCCAGAGTGTAATGCAACACTTGTTCCTGGTGCATCTTCATCAGAATCCGATGTACTTTCATTGTCAACCCGTCCCTGCAAACTGCTGACATTTACTTAATGCTTTCATCAATTTCAATATTAAAATAAAAACATCTCCCTGGTTTCTGATATAAAGAAAATATGCCTCTTGTAGCAAAACTTAATTGGACACTCACAATTCATGCATGACGAAAAACAATGTAATGCCGGTTAAGAAATAAAACTTTTGGAATAAAATACACATTCAATGTTACTTGAGATAATAACGATGTATCCCAATAGCAATTAAGAATTTTCTACAAAAAGATAAGTCTTTCAGAACAAAGAATCATGAAATGAAAATAATGAAATATGCGATATTAGTGATTTTAAAGCTACTTTAGTAAAATTGCATATGTTAAACTTACCAGCGTTATGTTATATTTCCTGAGAAGACACTAATATCAATCGTTTAAAGAATTTTGAACAAAAAAGCGGACCACTAATCACTTTAGTAAGATTTCATCTTCCACAGATAAGTTTTAGCTAGCAAAATATACTAATAGTTTTTCTATCTTGTTCGGAATTTGTAATATGTTTCCACATACTTCAATTGCTAATCTTAAATTCCAATAATATTTATACTTGTTAATGGTTAAAAGAGGAACAAAAAATCCTCACGACACAATACACAAACATATACACTCATGCATGGTGTTGGTTGCAAGTCTACATTTCGCATTCCACATAACATATAAAAATTTTAGTAGTACCCTAAGGTTGCTGATACTACCAATGCCAGTGATCAGATGCGGATTACGATGATTAGCTGAAGCTGAAGCTGACACTGCTGTTGTATCGGCCACTGAATTAGATCGAGGTCGACGCTAAATTAAAATTTTTGAGTGCAAAATTAAAACAAACAACAAACAAACAAACAGGTTTTCACTTGTTATATGTGAACGAAAACAGAAAAACAAAACAATTACTCATTTAAAAGTGTAATTAAACGACCCAATTCCACCATACTTAATTTAAAATTAATAAATTGAAAATGAAAACCAAATCGTGCATCGTAAAAACAAATTCAACTGTAAAACACAGATAAACAACTAAGTCTAGGATGATACTAAAAAATTATTCAAAAATTATTCTATTCTACTCTTGAAACTAATGGGTCTTATTCATGACAAAACTATTAAAAAAAAAAAAGAAAATGATTTATTTCCGCCACAGGACAGTTATGCTAATCTTTACTACGATCGGTCAGGAAAGTTTTCGAAATAGACGTTTGAAAGCTATCAGAAAAAAAAGCTTCAAAAGAGAAACAAAATTTCGTCAACTTCAGAATAAGGTATTTGCTCTCCTATGCATATAGTTACAATATGTATTTAAAACACTAAAATTTGTGTGCAAACTTTTAAAAATTACGTGACTCACTGTAAATAACGCATTTTTGGAGAAAAATATCTTTGCAGTATAAAGTAATTTAAATAGATAATATTAGGCTTTTGATGAAAAGATATTGTTGTTGCTAGCCAAATCAACAACAGCTGGACACTGACGCACGTGATGCCCTTATCTAATAGCAACATTATGATTTTCGCACTCCATAGAAACGCACTTTGTTTAATCTCACAAGAAAGCACGTGGAACAGGAGGCAGTATCAGTGATTCGTCAGAGAATGAATCACGACTTTTCGGACCTAAGTGATCGCTGAATGTATTGAATGATTAACAACGTTCTTTGAATTTAGAAATCTATAACCTTATTCTAGTGTAATAGAAGCTTCACAAATTAATAGAAGTGAGTCAATTTAATATAAAATCTATAAAATGTCAACTTGAAAGGATAAAAGAGAAAATTATTGAAGGAGAGACGTAAAAAAACGAATCAACAATATTTGTCTCCAGTATATTTTTGTGTCACTATTTAAGAATCTAGTAAACAACTGTTTAAGGAAGGACATATCTTGTGAGCTTTATCAAAGATTCGTCCTTTGTGTTAATATGCATCTATTTCCGGACACAGGAAAAAATCCAAAGTTCCAATTAATCTGCGAATTATTTCTATGAAATTCACAAAAACTAACATGTAAATCGGTTTGAACTGATTGGCGTCCACCCATTGGATCTAGTGATAATCAATCAAGACACATATACATAAACATACAATTTCCTTTCCAAGAAAACCCGAAGTAAACCAAGCCGAATATATACAAACCCGACGTACCTACACGCCGCTGTAATTTATCTGCAAATAGACAAATAGAATTGTAAAACAGAAATAAAATTTTAATATAACGCAACATCAGAATGTAATTTCAAAACCAGACGTATAAAAATACTCTATTAGAGAATAATTCCAAATCTGATGTAAAAGTAACATATATTAAGTTATATCAAATAAATTTTTAATCAGACATAAGAAGTGGTACAAAAACAGAAAGTAATTCTTCTCCCAATTCTTAAAAGCAATTTCAAAGGAGTAAGAATAAGTGATGTTACTTCTGAAAATCAATTTCAAACCACACGAGAAAGTCTGACATGACGGAACAAAGGAAAGCACTTTCAAGCAAGACGTAAAAGCTAAAACATAATATGATGCCATACCGAGAAGTAATTTAGTCGTTTTTTTTTTTTCGAAAATTAACAAAATTACAAACTTGAAGGCGTAACCATTCGTTTCTTATTTTGATCGACAAATCTATGTGGCCAAATAGGTATAGGGGGAGGAGATGATAATGATACCATTCGTAAACCATTCAATTCAATCAGTTTGTTGATTCGGCTCCCTATTTTCTTGAATCTAAGTTGATTCTTCTCACATTCAACATATATGCTTCGTCGTATTTCACTGTTGATGCAATCATCACCATCTTCAAGTCCGAATTTAAAAAATGAAATTATTCCTTTCCGATAAAATCCTCCCCAAAATTCTACTCTTTGTGTCTTGAAATCAACAGAAAAAATTCCTATTAAAATTAAAATAAGATCCAACAACATTTGGTTTTCTGTCTTCTGTATATTATCATCTTGGGCCCTACTATGTGTGTGCGTGTTATTCCTTTCTAGGTATATGTACGTTTGTGCACGCATCTATATCTGTTTGTCGCCTTGTGTTTACAGTTTATCGAAATAAAAATAAGTGTATACAAAATAAAAATAAGTGTATACAAATAAAGTTAGGTATATCAAAAGAAAAACTGAATACTTCCAAATACATAAAAATCAATTCATTATTTTCTAGTTGCTGACTGTAGCGAATTATATTACATTCACTTATCCGACTTGAAAACTACTTTCCAATATAACTTTCGGATAGCAGTCCAGCAATCAAAGTTCCGATGAAGAGAAATTTCAAGAATAGTAGATAAGCAATGAAAGTGAAAAAAATGTCAACGACTAAAACTTCACAACATGCATAAGTACGCAAATACACACGAACACACGTACGTACGTACATACATACATACGTACACACATATACACACACACACACACACACACAGACGCAAGCACCAACAATACAGCTCACCTTTAATTTTTGTGGATATTGCGCTGTTACATACAAAATAATTCCGTAACTATTTTTAAACATTGACAAGTTTGCATTTTGCAGCGTAAAGGGGAGATTGATTAGAAGCAGAGGTGCTGTTAATCATTGTTTTTAGTTAGTCAGGGACCGCTAACTTTTTAACCTCAATTTTAAGAAAATATTCGATTTTTTGGGAGAACTTAAAGCAAAAAGTCATTTTCGTGATTTTTGAAAATTTTTCTTATTAAACTGATTACTATTGAAATATTTTAAAGTTCGCAAAAAACTCTAAATTTAGGGAATACTCTTTTTGTGAAGTGATTCTTCAATTGGTACCATCATCTATAATGAAAACTCAATACATTAAGTGGTACAAATTAGAACAACATAAGTTTTGAATTAAAAAAAAGAAAAGAAAAACTTATTTTCTTAATAGTATACAAATAGTTATGAACAACGTAAACAATGACTATATTGTAATAATTTTAGAAAATACACGCGCTTATAAGATGAAGGATGTGAAGTATTGACTAACTGACATGAACAAAAATCTCGTGATATAGGATATGTATGATATCTATCAACTCATATCTTTTAAATTACTACCAACAAAGCTATTTGAGTTTATAATATTAATCTGGATGCAGTTATGCTTTAATTCCCAGTATTGATAAACATAATTTAAATCATGGTAATCTCAAAGTGTATCATTATTGATGACATTGATGATAGCATATTCAAATCACTACAGGATATTGAAGTCAAATCACTATGCATTATTTCATCATTCACCTTGATTTTTAGTAATGACGTAATCATATATCGCAATTGATGATGTGATCGCACATGACAATCAATGAGGTTATCAAATTTCATGTATCATATGTTGAATTGATCTGTAAGATTGTTGAATAGATTTGTAAAAAGAAATCAATTCAAAAAAAAAAAAAAAAAAATAGATGAAGCTAATGATATCAATTTCTAACAATCCTATTTCACTTATTAGTTGGCTAAATTGTTTTTTATTATGCTATTATTTAAATGAATTAGTATTAATAATTAAAAATTAAAATTTCGAATATATATTGAATTTGCTAAGTGGCTTAATAATTCCAATACATCAGTTTATTTTCCATCTTTACTGAACTTTTTTTCTGCCTTACTTTTAATTTTTTGATTTTTTTTTTTTTGATTTGATGCTATTTTACATGATGAATAGGAATCTTATTTGTAGCAATATTTTGCTTCCATATAATCATTCAGGTAGTTCATATTTTTATTGTTTGATTTCTTTGATCAATTGACTCTGAAACTATCGATACCGATTTTACAATTTTTTAGTCAAAGATTACTAACTTATTTTTTAAATCAATTTCGTTTTTAAATGAAATAAACAACAGAAATGCATGGTGCAATAAGATACCAAATATTAGCTTGCAAAGTTTCTGTCACAAATATTTTATCCAGTCATGAAAAGTTACTGACAGTAAAAATTTTTAAATATAATAATTAAAGATTGTTGGATTTTGCAAACTTTTTCACAAGCAATTTTATCCATATTTCTATCATTCTATTATAGATTGCTTGCAAATAACTAGGATTTTCAGGACTTTTCGAAATATTTAACTTTTGTGGTCTACGTCTAATTTTGTTTCAATTTTTCATATGTAAATTAAAAAAAAAAAAAAAAAAAAACAAACAAACAAAGTTAGTTTATAGATAGTAGTATTAGTCATAATTTCTAAAAATAAAAAAGCTTAAGTTAACCTTCGATATTTTTAGTTAATTAATTAATTAATTGTTTATATTAAGTATAACATCTATTTAGCGTTCAGATTTGTTTCTTTATAAACCCTGTAATTTGATTTTATAAATAAATACTTATTACAAGTCAATTTATTTTGGTATAAATGATGGAAGTCGATTTAATTTCATAAAATTAAACAAATTTTCATTTCATACTTGAAGATTTCTATCATTTCTAACAATATAATACATTAAATGTTATTTCATCCATAATATTTCTGTTACATTTAATTTTACTATCATCTCTCAAATTATCCTTCTATCACCTTGTTAAAAATCATTTTTACAGATAGTCAGCTTTTCTCCCGTTTATATATTTACCTCTTTTTATACGGGTATTGAACTTCAAACTTAAGTTAATAGCAAGGTGCGTATATAAAATACATATTGGCCTTAAAGGTAATTTTCATTTTCAAAGAAAATTTCTTTTCATTCTATTTCTTTTTCACTTTATTTCATCTCATTTGTACAATTTCATTTTTTACAAAAATTTGCCGCTCTTTCCATGTCCTTTCTTATGACATGTCGATTTTTACCGCCTATTTGTTCCTCTTAATGTAACGATTGTTGTAAATTACCCTTTTCTCATTCCTCTTTTAAATGATGGAAAATTTGATGAACTCATAAAATGGTTGAAAGAAAAAGAACATAATTTGCTAGATTTCTTCTATATACTTTGTTGCTGATATTATCATTATTTTTGTTCCTATTTTATTAATATTATTCTTATTAATAATAATAATTGTTATTGCTGTCGTTGTTATTGCTATTATTATTGTCGTTATTATTGCTATCACTGTTGCTTATTGTTATTGGATAAGAATACAGCAAATGACAAAAAGAAAAGGAAAAGAAAAAAGAAGGTAATAATGCTATCGTTCTTTTCTCCTGTATCAAATTTAATTCAATAAAAAAATTTTTTTCCTACAGTAATTCATTTGTTTTTCCTTTTTCCTTCTTTGCCTTAAACAATTCGAAAAAATTTTTTATATATCAGATAAGGAAGTAAAAAGGTGAATTATAAGAGAGAAGTAGAAGAGATAAGGAAATGATAAATGAAGAATAAGTAGGAGAAAATTGTGCCGCTTAGAATATATGCGCACAACCAGATGACTTCATCAATTGTCGGAAAGTTCTAACTTTGATCATCTTGTACATACTTTGTCATTTTCAATTATTAATTGATAATAATTGCCGACAAAATGCCAACAAAATGTGAATGGTTATGATATGAAAAAATAAGCAAATCACTGGTAAAATTACAATCATTTAGACAGTTTATTTCAAAATTAATGATTGACAAAAAAAGTGTTTCAAAGAAAAGAAAACCACTTCAATTTATTCAGCCACTTAAAAAGATGTGTTGACATAAGAATAAAAAAGTTAATCCATATTATATGATTTATTAACCTACCAGCATTGTTTACCGTAGAATTTATGATGCTAATATTGAATTGAAAGATTATTAGAAGTGATTACGGTGGCATTGGATTGTGGGGCGCCAATCAGTCGCTGTCCTTCAACAAGGCCAAGAAAAAAATCATAAAAGGAGAAGCAATGTCACCAATATTCTTCTCTACCTCTCCGCCCACAGTTTTTCCTATAACTAAAATTATAACTCAACATCTTTATCATCTTCCTTAAACTATCACTAACTGATGTCACCAGCATCAGTACTATCTATCTTCCCTATAAACATGCATGCACTTTTATGCACTTATTTTTTGCTTACAAATTGTATATGTTCGTAAATACTCACTATTTCATTTAAAAATTTTAATTAGATTCAAAATATCATAATTACTTAAGTGAAAAAGTATGAAAATTATGAATTGTTAGAATATAAATTAAGTTATGAAATTATTGAAATTTTAGTAATAAAAATATGATTAAAATAAAAAAATCATTTAAAAAGAAAATTAATGAACTATAAATTAAAGTATGTATTAAAAATTAGGCTAATGTATAAATTAGCGTTATAAAAGATAGTGAAAAAAAATGAAATGAAGTGCAAAATTGTTGAAGTATGAAATATAAATCGATCTTAAATTCCTTTTCTCCATTATTCTTTTTCTTTTTTCATATCTCTTCCTTTGGATTTTTCTAACCTTTAAGAGATTTTTTTTTTTTTGTTTCTGTTTTTGACATTTTTAAAATGTAAGACTGAAAGGATAGAACTATTTGCAATTAATTGTATAATATTTCCTACTTCAAGAGCAACTTGTGAAATAACATAATACGAAGATATATGAAAAGCTCTTAAAAGTTTTACCTTTGCTTAACTTCCCAATCTTTTTCCTTTCTCTCACTCTATTCTTCCCTTCCCATTCTTTCTCCTCCTTTCCTAATAAGTTATATTTTTTGAAATAACCATTAAATTTTATTTAAACATTTCAGATTTAAGGATATATTATGAATATT